AGCAGGAAGTCATCTAAAACAAACCAGTCAGGTTTAGAGTTTATAACTGAAAGACTTTAAACCAGTTAAAGTAGAACACTGGTGACCAGTCCAACACGCCTCGCTGGGTCTGATGGGTTCATCCTGCTTCATCCTGAGATGAAGATCGGCTCCTCCAGATCCAAGGCTGAGGTTCCCGACTGGAAACAGAACAGATTGTCCTGAAGTGGAAGAGTTGGAGTGGCTCAGGGTCTTGTTATACAAAAGGAGGGAGCAGGAGGAGGTCTGGTTCTGGTGGTTCTTTGTTCCAGTCTTCAGCTGTGGTCCTGAGCCAGCCTCAGAGAAGGGGGAGGAGCTCAGACATCCAGGATGGTTCAGACTTTTGCTACGGCTTCGCTCTGTCTGCTAAATAAAAACGTGTGTTTGTATCAGAAAGAAGATCTGGTTTCCATGAATCAGATGTTTAGACAGGAATCGTGTGTTTGTGTTATCGGCACGGTCCAACTAGATCTGATGATAAAAGTCATTAAACGGTGATGACCTCATTTCCTGTTATAGACAGACAGACTCATCATGTGATCAGATCTAAGAGTAAAAAATATATTCTAACATTTTTATTGCAGATCAATCATATAAAACAGTTCAATGAACCTGAGAATCTCAGAGAATAAAGGAAGTAATAATGAAAAAAGCTGAAAATATGACATCTGAGACCAGATATGAAGCAGTGTGTGTGAATGGTTGGCTGTGGTGTAAAGCGCTCTACACGTGTGGTCGTCATGTTATGTTATTATCATGTTATTATCATGTTATCATGCATATGAATTATGAGCCGCAGTCAGTGACGTGATCAGACACTAGGGGGCAATGTTGCTCCACCAACAACAGCTGATTTCTGTTCTAATGTTATTGGACCTTTTCTAAACTAAGCTGGATCATTTTCATTTGAGTTTTAATTCTCATAAATTTTCTTCTTGAAGAAGGTTCTTTATGATTATTCTGTAAATGTGGATCTTCTGCTTTTCTTTTAAATGTGTTTATAATTTTATTTAATTGTAAAAAAAACATGTACAGGAGATCGGTGTGTATCTGGAAATAAGAATGGAAAAACACTTCTGCTGAAAGAGAACACAGAGAATTTAGACCAATTAAACCAGTCAGTCACGAACCAGAGAATTAAAGACATGAGTAAATGTTTCCAGGAAGCTGATAAACAAACAAACAAACAGGAAGTGGCTGATGAGTGCGACAGCAGCAGATGGTTATCAGGACAGAACCAATCAGAGTTGATTTCCTGCAGCTGTGTGTTTCTGCTTTGCAGCCTCCTCGCCGTTAGCTGTGGCTTTTCTCTTTAATAACGACGGTTACAAACATCGGCTGGTTCAACCATCTCTGCAGGAAGCATCTGAGTTCTTCATCTGTGACAAAAACAACTCTGAGCTGAGAAATCACCTCTGACTGAACTCAAATCTTTATTAAACATGAACGAATGAAGATCCACTCCTACTCTGAGCTAAACTCACAGATGAGCCTTTCTGTGTCGCTGTGAGGGACTGATGCTCAGCTAGAGGAGGACATGTTCAGCTTTGATGTGTTTCTGCTGTCAGACATCAGAACTACCCAAAAACAGAACCAGACGTCCATGTTGGTTCAGCTCAAGTCTGGTTGTTTCAGTCGGTTGATGAAAACCTGCAGAACCTTCAGATGAGTCTACTCCTCTCAGTCAGAGCTGGATGGTTGTTTAGTTCACGTCTAACTGGTCTGGTCTCTGTGGACCTGCTCCTCATTGGTTTCCATCAGCTGCTGTCATGTTGTGTGGAGTCCCACAGGCAGCGCTGGACTGACCATAGGGCATAGCGGGCAACTGCCCGCTGGGCCGACCCTTTCATCTTTTATGGGCCGGTGTCTGTTTTTTTTTTTTTTTCCTGGCCTCTAGTTGTTGCGGACAACTTGTCCGCGCCGCCCCACGCGACGCCTCGTAAAAGTTGGTGGATTGGCCAATTGGTAATAATACACTGGGCTGGACCAATAGCCAGAGGTCTGATGCACCCGCCAGTTGTTTGTGAATCTCAGTAAACAGACAGACGAGCTTTACAAATGGAGAACAAAAAACGGAAAGGAGGAGCGGAGAAAATTCGACTAAAAAAGAAACTGGCCCTTCAGGCTGATGCTGGCACATGTGTTAAAATCTCACAGTTGTTTGGTAGTGAAGGTTCAAGTAAAATCAATTTAGGAAGTGATGGAGCCTCAGCCCAGCGACAGGTTGGAGAAGAAAAGAGGGAGGAGGAGGAGAAACCCGAGCCGGTGTTGTGCCATAAATTGACTCGCTGCCAAAAAATGATTAGCCACCGCGGGATCGCGCACGGTTAGGTAATTGCATTTCTAGACAAAATTCCCCAGGATTTCGCCCTAAAACTCGGCATATCTAGCAATATGGACATTCAGAAAGCAAAGATAACCTCTTCCGGTACTTAAATAGATGTTTATCGCGGATATTAGTGTGGCAGTGTTTGTGGCACCCTGCGCGGGAGCACGAGGACGTACTTGTGGAAAGAGGGAGGAAGATGTGGCAGTGTGAGCATCCGCAATGTCCCGATTGATCATGCGCCCTGGCTACTCGGCCAAAGAGATGTCCCTTTGGCTGACTGGTTAGAGCGTATGACTCTCACTTTGGGAGTCTGGGGATCGAATCCCGCCCGGGCACTCGTTTCTGCACCTTGCCACATTAGGTTTTCCAGTTCGGAAGTTGTTTTAAGTGTTGCTATTTGTCTTAAACGTTCACAATGAGGATATATTAATCCTTTTTGCAATATTTGCGATTGAAAGATGGTTTGTGCCACAAACTCTGTGGTAAGAACTGGCTTTCTTTATGTTACAGCTTTGATACTAAAAAAAATAAATAAACAATGTAAAATGGCACCCTGTATTGAATGTAAACGTTGTATAAATGGAAATAAACAATTCTCCAGCGATTTAATTTTTTCCCCTTCCTTTCTTTAGTCCACTTGACATGGAGCCACAGTTAACTAGTTTGGGGCACATTTTTACTTGAAAAAAAGTATTTAAAATGATCAAGCTTTGGCTTTAATGACACTGTGTAGGTTACTATCTATACATTACGTTGCTCTATTTAAAAGTAACAAGATAAAAGCACTTCAGCACATAAAATTAAGATTGTCACTTACCAAATAGACTACACCCTCCCGTTTACCTATAAGAAATGCCTCAAAATATCTTTAAATTCTTTATTGATGATTTAATTGTAGACAACAAAAATGGCATTTTACTTGCCAAAAAGTGATTGAATCGCTAAGATTTTCATGGAGGCTAAAATTGACCAAATAAGGGTTTTATGTATTATCTGTTGATGTTACTGTACTCATACTGCCTACTGTATCATCATAAACACCCCAAAAATGGCAACAAAAAAAAAAAGAAAAAAAAGAAGATAAATTCCCTTGCCAAAAATTGATTACAGTGTCCTGGTCACCTGTAAAGGGTTACATTTACCTAAATATTACTTTATTTATTATCTCTTGATGTTATTAGTGCCATCACAGGATGCTGGGTGTCTTTCACATTCATAAACACCTAAAAAATGGCAACAAATGATCATTTCCCTTGCCAAAAATTGATTACAGTGTCCTGGTCACGTGTAAAGGGTTAAATTGACCTAAATATTACCTTATTTATTATGATGCTGGGTGTGTTCCACAATCATATTCGAATAAACATGAAAATATTCCGTCCGAATATCTGTTTCTTGTTATAAATATAACAGCTAGAAGGATTTACAGTTAAAATAGGAGAAACACGTGACTCCCCAGGAAGGGTCGTAACACCACTTGCCTCATGCACATAAGTGAACAAAACAAAGCAGCATGGAGACACTCCGTCTCCAACCACCTCTCAGGCAGCAGCCTGCACTCCCAAGTTCTACACATCACCAGAACATAACCAACCAACACAATAAAAGCAGTGTTATACAAAATGGAAGGCCTGTAGTGTTTATTCTCTTACAGTAACAACTTATCAACTTTTTGGAGGAATTTATTTGAGAATTTTTTGGTTTTTAGTAATTGTGCAATAGAAAAGTAATCGCTAGATTAATCATCTAAATAGTCATTAGAATAGTCGACTATTCGATAAAATAATCATCAGAATAATCGTTTTAAAAATAATCGGTTACCCCCAACCCTACTTTTTAGAATACCAGGATAGGAAGGATGGTGTAGGTTTACGTTTATTAGATTGATACATAAATACTACCAATAAGAAAGTGTACGTTGGTGTGTGTCAGAAACAGCGTAAGGCTTAATGTCTTTTCCCAAAAAAAAAAAGGTGATGGGCCGGTCTCCAGTCAAAATGCCCGGGCTGAATTTTTGTCCCAGTCCAGCCCTGCCCACAGGGCTTAGTCCTCAGTCCTGTTATCGACCCTTTCAGCCGTGAGTCTCTGCATCGTTTCACTCAGGACTTGTTCTGGTTCTCATTAGAACTGAAGATAAGAACCATCAGAACCTTCCTGTCATTAAATGTAAATGTTTACCAGATTAAAACAAATGCAGAAGAGATTTGCAGAATATTTCTATTTATTAAACACATTTTTTCTGCTTCTTGTGATCTGAAAATTAGTTTTTATGGATTTAGTGAAACAGATTTTTAAAACAGTTCAAATATGGAGCACACAAAATCAAACATTGTTTATTTGTTTGATGATAAAAAGCTTTTTATTAGAATTAATTTGTGTTTTTCCACTTTATTATGATTCAAATAGGTGATCTGCTTTATTCTGTAAATCGTGATGAAACAAAGAAACTGCAGTAAAATATCAACAAGCATCAGATAAAGATCAAAAAGAGATGAAATGAGCTATTCTTAGATTTCAGTAAAACGTTTCTAAAAGTCTCTAAAAAGGTTTTATTCTGGTGTAAAATATTCTGATGAATGTGAAATCAGCAGAAGCCAACTAGACGATGTCAGAACCAACATCTGTAGAAACGGGTCAGAGATGAAGTGAGGAGTCAGCAGGTGGTAGACGCTCCCTTGTTCTTGAAGATCATCATCAGTGAGAGTCCACAGCAGAAGACCAGACTCTTCACTATCAGCTCTGAGTAGAGCAGCAGGAGCAGCTTCACCCTGAGCTCAGACTGGAAGGACACTAGCTGCTTCACTGGGAGCTGTGGGGGGAGAGATGTTGATGATGGATCATACTGGGAGGAGGATCTTGTTGGAGTTGCTGAGGAGTCTGGTGGAGACGTTGTTGGGATAGAAAACTCTGAAAGTAGAGAAGAGAAAGGTTTAAACCAGAGAACATCAGTCTTCTGCTCCTGACGACTGAATCAGTGACTAAACTTTCATCACCTTGTGTCTCGTTCTGCAGCGTGACCTCCTCATGGCTGACGTAGCAGAAGAATTTATACGTGTAGAAGGATTCTTGATCCACCTGTCTGATGATGACGGAACGATCTGACCCTTTGAGCTCCAGCTGCTCTCCATCAGGACTCAGATCCTCCAGATGACCGTACTTCTTCTGTCTTTTCCAGGCGAACCGGACCACAGGAGGAAACATGCTGGAGGCCAGACACATCAGGGAGGTCTTCTCCTCCTGGTGGGTTCTGGTTCTGACTGGACACACGGTCACCACGGGCTTCATCACCTCCTGGTCTGTTAGACAGAGACATGTTCACCTAGTCAGTTTGATCTGATCAACACACACACACACACACACACACACACACACACACACACACACACACACACACACACACACACACACACACACACACACACACACACACACACACACACACACATATTATAATATATATTTATTTATGATTTACATTTCTGAGAAGCAGCTTTCATACAGAAGTTTAATTGATTAAATTATAATTAACGGGTACATTTTAGATTTAGCGTTTCCATGAACACATCATGATCACGTTCACCACAAACATAAACACGTCTTATTTCTTTGACATCAGATATTTATTCAGATCAAAGCTGATAGATTTTAAACTTTTGCGAACAAGCTTATGATTTTAACGCTAAAGTCCTTCCTGGATGGTTGAACACTTTCTAGATCTGCACCAAAGTCAGTCAGCTGCTATGATTGGACCTTCAGCTAATGCCAACATGAGACGCGAGCTCCTTGGCTGTCTTGCTAGTAAATCCCACGTCTGGAATCTGGATGTAGAGCAGGAGGAAATGGCCTTTTTGCAGTCACAGCTCCATCATCTGACCTGTCTAAATCCAGACTTAAGGCATGCTTTGATTCCACTGTTTAAGTTATTATTGTTTTTGTTATCGGTTTTTAATTGTGCTATTATTCTATTCTGTTTGTAGTTTTCAGGATTTTGTTTGTTTTTAATGTTTTCTGCTCAAGTTAAGCACTTTGGCTACAGCTATTTGCTGCTGTAAATGAGCTATATAGCACTTTGATATCTCTTCTGTAATGTAAAGTGCATTCATTATAAATAACATTTATTATTATTATTATTATTATTATATAAAATGTATTATTAAATAAATAAAATGTATTATTATTATTATTATTATTATTATATAAAATGTATTATTAAATAAATAAAATGTATTGTTATTATTATTATTATTATTATTATTATTATTATAGAAATAAAATGTATTATTATTAGTAGTATTATTCTTATTTTAGAAATAAAATTGACACCAGAAGCATCTCCAGCAGTAGGGCTAAAGGAGCCTCGGTGCAGGCAGGAAGATCAGGTTAAAGATATTTAATGAAACCAAGAGCAGCTAGGAAACAGAAGCGAGACACGAGAGCAGAACCAGAGCGGGCCGATCAGGAGGACCTGAGACCTGCAGGTGAAGCAGGTGATCACTAAACAGGAACAGGTGAGTTAACAGGAAATATGAGAGAAACTTCACCTGGCAACAAAAACCTGCCATTAAATAAACATGAAATCACAGAAAACACCAATCAGCACAGTTCATGTAAATATTTATGAATTATATTAGTAAAGTAAGCAAAATAGAATAAAACAAATAAACACATCTCGTAGATTCTGATTATAGTTTATAATTCAATTATTTAACAGAGTTAATTATGCGGATCCTCCTGATCACACCTGACGGTCTCACCTGTTTCAGCCGCTGTTGAAGTCGGTCAGCAGCTCCACCTGCTCGGCCCTAACTCACCTGCATCTGGATCCTCATCACACCAGAAAAGTCTGAAGCCTCCATCATGCGTTGAAGTGTAGTTATGTCAGGATTCATTTTTATGAACATTTATTCATTTTTATGACATTTTGAGATTTTAGTTGAAAACAGAGAAATTCTAATCGTGTTTTTTTGTTGTTATAAATCAGCTGTTTTTGAGCCCCCGTGTCATGACGTGCGTACGTGAGTTGAGCCGGAGGTGAGGACCCAAATGCAGGGGAAGAAGCAGGAAACAAGGGTTTTAATAGCACGGAGCCCGTAGGACCTAGAAACAATGAACTGACAGGACACATAGAACTGATAGGGTTTAAATACACGAGGAGCTGGGACCTTGGGTGATTGGGAGACGAGAGGCAGGTGGGAGCAATTAACATGGACACAGGACACAACAGAATGGGGAGACAGGACAGAGTGTGACACCCGGACCCCGATGAAGAATAAACAACTACATTTGATCCATCAACACTAAGAGACATAAAATCAGCAATCACAGAAAAAAATACTAAAATGATTTTTGTTCTGATATTATTTTTAATCGTCTACCATAAAACTATTATTTTATTAATCAGGTTTTTGGCTCTGCTGGTTTTAGGATGCAAAAGGTTTTAGGAGCCACTGGTTTAAAATATCTCTGAGTAATTTTACTTTGATACATTTATTATAATTTATCATAATTTGACCTTAATTCTGAGATAATGAAGTAACTATCCAGGTTTAGTCACTAATCCGACCATAACTGCAGATGTAAAAGTCAGATGGAGGATCTTCTCGTCTGCAACGGCAGCTGCAGGATGAGTTCTCCACTAAAGATAAAAAACTAACGAGACAAATCTGAAACTTTAAACACATTTTAACTTCTGCAAGAAAACATCTGAGGAAATAAATGTTTGTTCTTACCTGAAACATAAAGTTTGGTTCCAGAACCAAAGATGTATCCTCCACAGTGAGATAATCTGGTCCAAAAACCCATCTGCTATTTCTTTTCCTTCTTCCTGATCCCACATTTCCTCTTTTTGCAAAATTTAACATCCAAGCTTTAGAAAATGAAGCAAACCAAACTTCTGAATCCAGATCTGAGACGTTTGACAACAAATGTGAACACAAACTGATGTGAGATCAGAGCCATTCTCTGTAACTTCAGCCACATGAGCAGAAATAAAGGAGGAGTTTAGATGTTCTGTGACATTTAAAGATGTTTCCAGGACACACCAATGGCTTCCATGTTGGTTGTGAGCGGTTCCATCCAGCTGAGCTCCAGAAGCAAAGATCCAGAAGCAGGATCCTCCACACGGGGAGGAAGTGGGATCCAGAAGCCGTCTGCTGCTGAATGTGTTAGCTGAGTGGAACCGGTCCAGATGATGAAGCAGGATCAGGTTTCAGCTCCATCATGTGTTTCTCAGCTGTTGGATGGATTGTTGTCCCAACTGCTTCAGATGTTCCTGCTCCCCTCAGGATGAAGTGGAACGCCTTTGGAGCTCCTCCCACTTTTCCTCCATCATCAGGTCTCACTGGATCCTTCAGTATCAACAAGAAGAAACGTGGAGCTACAAACATCCCAGTCAGAGTCAGATGAAGAGAGAAAGTGTTCATCTGCTGAAACCTCCTGATTGTGACTGTTGCACGCTGCTCTGTGGTTTCCTGATGCTGACGGGTTAGGGTTAGCCTAATCCTAATCCTATGAAGCTGCTCTGTGGTTTCCTGTTGCTGACGGGTTGGGGTTAGCGTAATCCTAATCCTGTGAAGCTGCTCTGTGGTTTCCTGATGCTGAAGGGTTAGTTTTATCCTAATCCTAATCCTATGAAGCTGCTCTGTGGTTTCCTGTTGCTGACGGGTTGGGGTTAGCGTAATCCTAATCCTGTGAAGCTGCTCTGTGGTTTCCTGATGCTGAAGGGTTAGTTTTATCCTAATCCTAATCCTATGAAGCTGCTCTGCGGTTTCCTGATACTGACGGGTTAAGGTTAGCCTAATCCTAATCCTAATCCTAATCCTAATCCTAATCCTATGAAGCTTCTCTGCCATTTCCTGATGATGACGGGTTACGGTTTACCTAATACAGAAGATCTTTCATGGACGTATAAACAAAGAGTCAGAGTACCCAGCCCAGAGGGTTACCGGGGTCCCACACTGGAGCCAGGCCTGGGGTTGGGGCCCGTGAGCGAGCGCCTGGTGGCCGGGCTTTCGCCCATGGGGCTCGGCCAGGTCCAGCCCGAACCGGATACATGGGCTCATCCAACTGTGGACCCACGTCCCGCAGGAGGAACATGAAGGGTCCGGTGGGGTGTGGATCGGGCGGCAGACCGAGGCGGGAGCCTTGGCAGTCCGATCCCTGGACAAGGAAATTGGTTATTAGGACATGGAACGTCCCCTCGCTGGCAGGGAAGGAGCAGGAGCTTGTGGCAGAGGTTGAGCGGTACCGGCTAGAAATAGTCGGACTCACCTCAACACATAGCATTGGCTCTGGTCCTTGAGAGGGGTTGGACACTCTCCTTTGCTGGAGTTGATCCGGGTGAGAGGCGGAGGGCTGGGGTTGGCTTTTTGTTAGCCCCAAGACTCTCTGCCTGTGTGTTGGGGTTTACCCCGGGGGACGAGAGGGTAGCTTCCCTGCGTCTTCGGGTCGGGGAATGGGCCCTGACTGTTGTTTATGCTTATGGGCCAAATATCAGTTCAGAGTACCCACCCTTTTTGGAGTCCCTGGGACGAGTGCTAGATAGTGCTCTATCAGGGGACTCCATTGTCCTGCTGGGGGACTTCAATGCTCACGGGGGCAATGACAGCATGACCTGGAGGGGTGTGATTGGGCGGAACGGCCCACCTGATCTGAACTCGAGTGGTGTTTCGTTATTGGACTTCTGTGCAAGCCGCAGTTTGGCCATAACTAACGCCATGTTCGAACATAAGGATGCCCATCGGTACACTTGGTACCAGGGCAGCCTAGGTCGCAGGTCGATGATGGACTTTGTAGTCGTATCATCTGACCTTATGTTTTGGACACCTGAGTGAAGAGAGGAGCGGAGCTGTTAACTGATCACCCCCTGGTGGTGATCTGGATCAGATGGCAGGTGAAGATGCCATGTAGACCATGGCAGACCAAAACGCATAGTGAGGGTCTGCTGGGAACGCCTGGCAGAAGAACCTGTCAAGACGGTCTTCAACTCCGACCTCCGGCAGAGCTTTGACCACGTCCCAAGAGCAGTGGGGGACATCGACTCCGAGTGGGCCTTGTTCCACTCTGCGATTGTTGAGGCGGCTGTTGCTAGCTGTGGTCTCAAGGTGGCCGGTGCCAGTAGTGGTGGCAACCCCCGTACCCGCTGGTGGACACCAGAGGTTCGGGGAGCCGTCAGGCTGAAGAAGGAGGCCTACAGGGCGTGGCTGGTCTGTGGGTCTCCGGAGGCAGCAGACGGGTACCGGATAGCCAAGCGGGGTGCAGCAGTGGCAGTTGCCGAGGCAAAATCTCGGGCGTGGGAGGAGTTTGGTGAGGCCATGGAGAAAGACTATCGATCGGCGCCAAAGAAGTTCTGGCAAACTGTCCGGCGCCTCAGGAGAGGGAGGCTGCAACTTGCTCAAATTCCTTACAGTGGGGATGGGGAGCTGCTGATGTCAACTGGGGCTATAGTCGGGCGGTGGAAGGAATACTTTGAGGAGCTCCTCAATCCCACCCACGCACATTCCGAGGAGGAGCCAGAGCTGGGAGACCTGGGGATGGACTGTCCAATCTCTGGGGCAGAAGTTGCTGAGGTAGTCAAACAGCTACACCGCGGCAGAGCCCTGGGGGTGGATGAGATTTGTCCTGGGTATCTCAAGGCTATGGATGTTGTAGGACTGTCATGGTTGACACGTCTCTGCAACATTGCATGGTCATCAGGGGCAGTTCCTGTGGAGTGGCAGACCGGGGTGGTGGTCCCCATTTTTAAGAAGGGTGACCTGAGGGTGTGTTCCAACTATAGGGGATCACACTCCTCAGCCTTCCTGGAAAGGTCTACTCCCAGGTACTGGAGAGGAGGGTCTGATCGATAGTTGAATCTCAGATTGAGGAGGAGCAATGTGGTTTTCGTCCTGGCCGTGGAACTGTGGACCAGCTCTATACCCTTGCAAGGGTGATGGAGGGGGCATGGGAGTTTGCCCATCCAATCCACATGTGTTTTGTGGATTTGGAGAAGGCTTATGACCGTGTCCCCAGGGGCACCCTGTGGGGGACGCTCCAGGAGTATTGGTGGGTGGCCTTTTGTTAAGGGCCATTCAGTCCCTTTACCAGAGGAGCGTGAGTTTGGTCGGCATAGCCGGTAGTAAGTCGGACCTGTTCCTGGTGAGGGTTGGACTCCGCCAGGGCTGCCCCTTGTCACCGGTTCTGTTCATAACTTTTATGGACAAAATTTCTAGGCGCAGCCGTGGTGTGGAGTGTGTCGAGCTTGATGGCAGGAGAATCTCGTCTCTGCTTTTTGCGGATGATGTGGTCCTCCTAGCTTCATCCAGCTCTGACCTTCAGCTCTTGCTGGGTAGATTCGCGGCTGAGTGTGAAGCGGCTGGGATGAGGATCAGCACCTCTAAATCTGAGACCATGGTTCTCGACTGGGAAAGGGTGGCTTGCCAACTCCGGGTCGGTAGAGTGGTCCTACCTCAAGTGGAGGAGTTTAAGTATCTCAGGTTCTTGTTCACGAGTGAGGGTAGGAGGGATCGGGAGATCGACAGGCGGATTGGTTCGGCGTCTGCAGTGATGCAGACGCTGAGCCGATCTGTCGTGGTGAAGAGGGAGCTGAGCCAGAAAGCCAGGCTCTCGATTTACCGGTCGATCTACGTCCCAATCCTCATGAGCTTTGGGTATTGACCGAAAGAACAAGATCGCAAATACAAGAGGCCGAAATGAGTGTCCTCCGTAGGGTGGCCGGGCTCAGCCTTAGCGATAGGGTGAGGAGCTCGGACTTTCAGGATGGACTCTGAGTAGGACCGCTGCTCCTCCGGATCGAAATGAGTCAGTTGAAGTGGTTTGGGCATCTGGTCAGGATGCCTCCTGGACGCCTCCCTGGGGAGGTGTTTCGGGCATGTCCTGCCAGCAGGAGGTCCCTGGGTCGACCCAGGACACGTTGGAGAGGTTACATCTTCAATCTGGTCCGGGAACGCTTTGGGGTCCTGCCGGAGGAACTGGTGGAGGTGGCTGGGGAGAGGACGGTCTGGATTTCCCTAGTCGGGATGCTGCCCCTGCGACCCGGACCCGCATAAGCGGAGGAAGACGAAGAAGATGACAAATCCTAATCCTATGAAGCTGCTCTGTGGTTTCCTGATGCTGACGGGTTATGGTTAACCTAATCCTAATCCTAATCCTATGAAACTGCTCTGCGGTTTCCTGATTCTGACGGGTTAGGGTTAGCCTAATCCTAATCCTAATCCTATGAAGCTGCTCTGCGGTTTCCTGATGCTGAAGGGTTAGGGCTAGCCTAATCCTAATCCTAATCCTATGAAGCTGCTCTGCAGTTTCCTGATGCTGACGGGTTAGGGTTAGCCTAATCCTAATCCTAATCCTATGAAGCTGCTCTGCGGTTTCCTGATGCTGAAGGGTTAAGGTTAGCCCAAGGCCGGATTAACCATATGGGCAACTAGGCAATTGCCCAGGGGTCCACAAACTCTAAAGAGCCCAGGCCCAGGGCAGCAAGGGCACGAGCAAAATACTATATCTGTAATCTCCCGCTTAATATTCTAGGGTGTCCATACGTCCTCTTTTTCCCAAACATGTCCACTTTTCACTCTCTGTCCAGGGCGTCCGGACTGGGGGTTCTTGTATTGATGAAAATGTCCGGGTTTTCATCCAGGAGCAGGGATCGAATTATGGGGGAGCTGGAAAAAATGTTTCTACCTATTTTACATCATTTATGTAAGGGCTGCATGATGGCGCAGTTGTTAGCACTGTTGCCTCGCAAGAACGAAGGTTGCAGGTTCGAATCTCGGCTGTGGCCTTTCTGCGTGGAGTTGCATGTTCTCCCCATGCATGCGTGGGTTTCCTTCGGGTACTCCTGTTCCCCCCACAGATCACAACATGTCCTATAGGTTATAAATTGTAAGTCGCTTTGGATAAAAGCGTCTGCCAAATAAATAAACATAAACATTTATGGACTCTCGGGGGTTCTTTTGAGCGGAGGAAACAGAGAGCGGCACAGCGCTGTTCGTTGGTGCGCTCCAGGCAGCTGCCTCCAGCGCACGGTCCATTCTCAAAGTGGCGCAACCAAAAAACAATAATGAACACATGATCGTTCATGTCCGCACATGTTCTCTACTTTCTGTCTTATTTGTGCCTGAAGCGCTCTGCTACTGCGGAGCTCATCACCTGTGCTGCGGTGATTTCACCTCACTGATGCAGCATCGAAACGCGCTTTCCGCTTTGCGGTCAGGAGATCCCTTTGATCTTCTCAAAAGTAACTGATGAGGTGAAAAAGTAAGAATCCAGGCAGCAGTTTTTCTGGAGAGTTTAGAGGAGATGCAGGAAGATGAGAGACAGACAGGACAGGAAAATAGTTCAATAAAAACAAGAAAACAAAACAAAGTGTTGAAAAGTAAAATGTAGGTGGATTTATCTCCACTACACGTTTTTACCAGTATAAAACAATAAGTTACACACATGTCATATTTATACATCTGATACAATTCAGACCACCTTCAAAACTCAGTCACACACCCAGGGCCATTTCAAGGCATTTTGGGGGCCAAGGCTAAACAACCCCCCCCCCCCCCCCCTACTGGGCTTCCCAGAAGTCTCTGTGTAATCCATACCCTGTCCAGGAGGGTTAGTTAAACAGTGTTTATAAAAGCCCCTCAGACATTACTGACATGTTCTAATATTATCAGATGAAAAACTAAATTATCAGACATGCTGTCTCATCTGCTTCTTTTCTAAACTTGCAAAAAGTAACAAAACCATTTGAAAGCCACTATTTGTGGATTCTCTGAAAGTTTCCATCATGGTGTGTGACAGCTTACTTTTATCTTTGATCCTATCGTCTAATGTCACAGCTGAAACAAGCATCCTTAATAATCTGTGCACAGGAAGCTCACTGATGCTGTAGTTAAACAAAAGGTATAATAATTTATTATTAATAAAACCTTGTTGCAGCACTAAAGCAGAAAAATGAGATTTTGCAATAAATATGCTAAATATTTACATATGAATTATTTTAGAGCCGTTTTATTGGCAGAATCTGATATTAATTTTAGCTCTTAAAAAAAAGGGTCCCAACGTGGTTTGTGTGGCGTTGCCATAGTGTGACATGGAAATATGGTCACCCTATATTAAACAAACTGTCCACCCGGGCTTTTGCTCTGCACAGAGACACTTCGCTGCCAATGACTTTGAACGACAGTTGAGAGCGGTTGAGAGTCAGTCTCATGCAGACTGACCAATGAATAGAGGGCCTCAATTTAAGACCCTCTCCTCATTGGTCAGTCCACACGAGGTGGGTCAAAGGTTACCCTGAGCGGGTTACGTGATGTCAGGCATTCAAGTATTGTGTATATTTACTGCATATTACAGTAAAATATTCTGTATATGACCATATTATGGTGATCCTTGGGTCGTGATGATGGGGCCCTTTAATATTGTTGCCCAGGGTACAATAAAGTGTTAATCTGGCCCTGGGTTAGCCTAATCGTAATACTAATCCTGTGAAGCTGCTCTGCGGTTTCCTGATGCTGATGGAGTCATGACAGCAGCTTCATGCATGTGGGGACATCGTCTAACAGTGATGTTAAATTTGCTGTTTGTTTTAATCCAGTTATGGTTCTGCCCTCTTAGTGATCCGTGCTCTGACCAGAAGCTTGAGCTCCATGATTCTCCGACGCTGGCCCTCCACTCTGGAAAAGTTTGGATTAGGAATTCGGGCCAGGTCAAATTTTGACGACTTTTTAAATGTCAGAATCAATCAACTCTTTCGTATTTCGTAATCCTTTATGGAGAAAATTCCACTAAAACTTTTTATCAAGGCTCCCACGGGCCAAACTATCAACCACACGGCTAGAATGATCCATCCGCTCCACTAAATCCTCCTCCAAATGTGCAAAACAATCTAATTATATCGTAAATTTGCTCTTTCTTGCCACCCAATCCCACGATGCAATGCAAAAATCATAAACACTGACATGACAGAAGATCCTCCCATCCTAAATACACAGAGTGAAAGGATTGGTTTTACTGTTGCTGACATGTTTCAATGTTCACTGCCGCCTTCGTCAAAGCAACCGCCGGATGTTGGTGGTGTCACTTTCCTTTATCCGCGGGCAGCAGAGGACGATGTCGTCTGACTGATGTGGAGCAGAAATTTTCCATATACAGTAAATAATTGATTGATCACTAAGACAACCTGCTAAAACCCCAGAATCGACCATCCTATTCTAGATCCAGTCTATAAGGGAGGAACAGCTACTAGCCGCTCTAGTTTAATCAACCGAGTAAAACCCAGCTGTGTGAACGGTTAAGGCCAGCGACGGACGATGGATGAAGAGTTTCTAAACTTTTAGAGAAGTGGGGAAGAACTGAAGTTGGTTTGTTACCAAAGAGGGTTTTCTCTCCTGATTTCTGAACTAGAACAACTTTTGTTTTCATGTTGTCTGGAAAGACAAGTTAACATGAAAGTTAGAGATTTAGCAATAACACATCTGTAGCTCTCCACTTTATATCATGATTGCTCCTTTCTACTGGATGGAGCTGTTTACTGTTGTGAATTTTTTTTCCTGCCATCTAAATCATGACGTTCTGGTTCTGTCCCACTGACCGTTATTTCCTCTGACAGGTTCGGTTCTTTATTTGCAAAGATCATATTGAAGCTTTTTGCTGATTCATCCATGTCTTTGATTCTGTTTTCATTTTCTATGATTTTTTATTTTATTTTATTTCTAACTGTTAGGGATTTTATCAATATATTTATCAATAAACCCATTTCCTGCAGTCAAAGAGAAAAGGAGAGAAAAACAATTAGCAGACAAGTAACCCAAATTGCAATCTGTGGCAGAGCACGAGGCAACTGCCCTGAGTTCTGCTCTGCCAGTTTATTGTATAACATGAGATAAGAAAGGAATGGGAGTGAGGTCATGAGTGAGAGAGACCGTGTGTGTGTGTGTATGGGAAGAACAGTGTGTGTATGTGGGTGTGTCTGAGTGTGGGTATGCTTCCAGGCATACATTAGTTAATAGGATTAAAGTAATGAAATATAAAATTTTCATAACACTAACCCATAAAAAAACCCGGAAAACAAACAAGAATGAATAAATGAACCCAAACTAATAATAACAGCTGTATTGCTACAAGCAAATTTAGGTTCACCTTGTTTTTTTATTGTTTATTTTCTTAGAAGTTCATGTTTAAGTCTTATTTTCAGAAATGGTACTGTCACTTTAAGAAAGACAGAATATCAGACAGGAAGTTGTTGCACAGGCTGTAGAGAGAGTTAACCAGGAAGCAAATGCACATGGAAATAGAACACTTATTTTTCAGCTGTCCTGTCAGTAAGAGGTTTTGGGAAGAAGTCCATTGTTGGTTAAAAAATAAAATAAGAGAACTTGATCGTTTTACAAATGAAGATATTCTTATTTACAATTCTAAATTAAATGGGAATAATTCATTGTTTTATTAACATTATTATTATTATGGGTAAATACCACATCCACAAAAGCAAATGGAAAAAACAACTGCCAAACATGGACTGTTTCACAAATGAATTCCATATGTTCTTATCCACTTTGACTCGTATAAAAAATTCAAGTGCAACTGCAAAAGCCATTTGTCATGCTGCAGAAAAATGTTTAATCTTGTAACAATGGTTTTACTTTGTGATATAAGTGTCTCTTTTTTAAGTTTCTTATTTGTTTTTCTTTTATTGTTACTAAGGATGCCTTGTATGTTTCCATTATGTGTTGTCTCACGAGAAATTGTAATAAGCATTTAATGATAATAAAAAAAATAAAAAAAAGAGTGAAGATTTGTTACTCAAGTCAATCCAGGCGCATCTACAAACATCTTGTGTTTTTAGTTGCATCGCAGTGAGAAACTCCATGATCTGAACACAGCATGGAGGTGAAACATGGTCAGCTGCTGAGGTCTGCTGCTCTCTTCCTGTCTGACTTCTGTTCATCTGGAGGTTTTTGTTCAGCCTGCAGGGATCATCTCTCTCTGTGGAGACCAGAAACCCAACAGCTGCAGTAGTACGAGGCTGCATGTTCCTGTTGGACTTTGTTTAGCTTTAACTCACAGCCGTTCTGATTGTTCTCAGCTGAGAACTCATCTTGTTGAGGATGACCGTAACCTTTATATACTTCTGAATTACTTGCATCAAATCCAAGAATAGCTTTGAATGTTTCTGTGTCTTTCTTCTGGTACCAGTATATCCAGCTTAAAGTACACACCTGAGTTCCTCCACAGCTGATGGAGACTCTCTCATCAGCTCTCCTGGTCAGTGTTACCCCCTGAGTCAGCTGTGTTGCCATGGTAACTAGCGCTGTAGGGACACAGCCAGACAGGTGAAGGTTTGTTCCAGGTGGACTGTGCTGGCTCCTGATTGGCTGGAAACACTCACCTGAACACAGACAGCACATAGCTGCAGCTGGGAGGAAACGCATTTTGTTCAGTGGTGTTTCCTCTGGTGAACCTGGGGAGAAGTGGTGCTCTGATGCAGCTGAGGCCAAACAAGATCAGACCAGGGCCACGTGGTTTTACCAGCTCCTCAGCTCCCATCAGCCCCTGCTGCTGATGATGATTGACAGCTCAGCTGAAGCTGCTGTGTGGTTTCATCGTCTTGGTTTCAGTCTGACAACAGATGGAGAAAATCAGCCTGACATGATGCAGAATGACTCAAAAACATTCAGCCGCTGGATTTAGCAACACAGGCTGATATCTGTTACAGGCTGGAGGTGCTGGAAACCACCTGCAGGGGCGCTGTTGTCTCACTAAATACAATTTGCTTCATAGATAACGAAGAAACCAACCAGAGCTCAGCAGCTGCAGGTTACATCATCCACCAGAACTCCTTCATCCAGCAGATCTGACCACCCTCCATCAGGATTCCTGTGGAAAGTGTAGAAATGGTTCCTGGTAAGAGGTTTCTGGGTGTCCACGTTTCTGAAAACCTTCAGGTCTCTGAGATTTGCAGCAACAGGCTGATGAACAGCTTCTCTCTCTAATAAACAATCATTCATAGTTTCTCTGATTAGCTTTTATCCACACTCATCAGGATGTAATAATATTACTGCTAATATTCATGTTTCTACCCATCAGCCCAGCCTCACTTGTCGCTCACCTGTCATGGTGGCAGCTTCATATTTTAGTTTTTCATGTTTATGCGGACATATGTTGCTGCATGTGCTGTTACACATGTGTCTATTATAGATATAATTACCTTTAACATTAATGAGTTCTTGTTTAATTTTATTTGTGACCCACTGTGTGTTTATTTGTGTTTGTCTCTGACATCACTGCTGTGGAGGTCTTCTTTAATCCTGATCATTCTTCATCTGTGTGGATTCTCTGTCATCCATCATCTTAAAGCTTTAGTTAGAAAACAGCCAGCTTCTCGGCTCCTTAAAAATGTTTGGCCTCTCATCTGAGAGGCTTCTTCAGTTCTGAAACTTGGGTTGGGAGTAGGAGGTTTATATTTAGTGGTCTGAAATATTTTTCTTCATATATGTCCATACATCCATCCATTTTCATCCGCTTATCCGGAGTCGGGTCGCGGGGACAGTAGCCTAAGGCGAGAGGCCCAGACTTCCCTCTCCCAGCCACTTGCGCCAGCTCCTCCGGGGGAATCCCAGGACGTTCCCTGGCCAGGTGAGAGACATAGTCCCTCCACTGTGTCCAGGGTCTACCTTTAGGTCTCCTCCCGGTTGGACGTGCCCGGAAAACCTCACCAGGGAGGCATCCTGAATAGATGCCTGAGCCACCTCAACTGTCTCCTCTCGATGTCGAGGAGCAGTGGGTCTACTCCGAGCCCCTCCCGAATGACCGGGCTTCTCGTCCTATCTCTAAGGGAAAGCCCAGCTCCAGTTTTCCCTCACTCGTGAACAAGACCCTGAGATACTTAAACTCCTCCACTTGGGGCAGGACCTCATCCCTGACCCGGAGATGGCATTCTACCCTTTCCGAATCAAGACCATGATCTCAGATTTAGAGGAGCTGATTCTCATCCCAGCTGCTTCACACTCGGCTGCGAAGCACTCCAGCGAAAGCTGAAGATCACATTCTGATGAAGCCAACAGGACCACATCATCTGCAAAAAGCAGAGACCTGATCCTCAGGCCACCAAAATGGATGCCCTCCACACCTTGGCTGTGCCTAGAAATTCTGTCTATAAAGGTTATGAACAGAATCGGTGACAAAGGGCAGCCTTGGCGGAGTCCAACTTTCACTGGGAACGAGCCCGACTTACTGCCGGCAATGCGGACACCCTGTATGACACCGGTCATACAGGGACCTAACAGCCCATATCAGAGGGACTGGTACCCCATACTCCCCGAGTAGCCCCCACAGGGCCCCCCGAGGGACGCGGTCAAACGGCTTCTCCGCCATTCCCCTAAGGGTATAGAGCTGGTCCAGTGTTCCACGGCCAGGACGAAAACCACATTGCTCCTCCTCAATCTAAGGTTCAACAGTCCGACGGACCCTCCTCTCCAGAACCCCTGAATAGACCTTACCAGGAAGACTCAGGAGTGTGATCCGCCTGTAGTTGGAACACACCCTGCGGTCCCCCTTTTTAAATAAGGGGACCACCTTCTTCTGGTCTGCCAGTCCAGTGGGACTCCCACAATGTCCGTGCGATATTGCAGAGCCACGTCAGCCAACACAGCCCCACAACATCCAGAGCCTTTAGGAACTCCGGGCGGATCTCATCCACCCCTGGAGCCTTGCCACAGAGGAGCTTTTTAACCACCTCAGTGACCTCAGCACCAGAGATTGGAGAGGCCAACCCAAAGTCCCCAGACTCTGCTTCCTCACTGGAAGACATGTCGGTGGTATTGAGGAGGTCTTCGAAGTATTCTGCCCACTGACCCACAACGTCCTGTGTAGATGTCAGCAGCACACCGTCCCCACTATAGGTAGTGATGGTAGCGCACTGCTTTCCCCCCCTGAGGAGCTGGATGGTGGACCAGAATCTCCTCGAAGCCGTACGGAAGTCTTGCTCCATGGTCTCACCGAACTCCTCCCATGCCTGGGTTTTTGCCTTGGCGACCACCCAAGCCGCGTTCCGCTTGGACTGCCGGTACCCGTCAGCTGCCTCTGGAGTCCCGCAGGCCAAAAAGACCTGATAGGACTCTTTCTTCAGCTTGACAGCATCCCTAACCGCCGGTGTCCACCAGCGGGTTCAGGGGTTGCCACCACGGCAGGCACTGACGATCCTGCGACCACAGCTCCGGTCGGCCGCCTCAACAATGGAGGCATGGAACAGGGTCCATTCAGACTCAATGTCCCCCGCCTACCCCGGAACTTTTTGGAAGTTATGTCGGAGGTGGGAATTGAAGCTCCTTCTGACAGGAGACTCTGCCAGATGTTCCCAGCAGACCCTCGCAATACATTTGGGCCTGCCTGGTCTGACCAGCATCCTCCCCCACCATCTGAGCCAGCTCACCACCAGGTAGTGGTCAGTTGACATCTCCGCCGCTCTCTTCACCCAAGTGTCCAAGACATGTGGTTGCAGGTCAGACGAAACAACAACAGTCGATCATCGAGCTGCGGCCTAACGTATCCTGGTGCCAAGAGCACATATGGACTCCTTTATGTCTGAACATGGTGTTCATTATGGACAATCCATGACTGGCACAGAAATCCAATAACAAAACACCACTCGAATTCAGATCAGGGGGGCCGTTCCTCCCAACCACACCTCTCCAGGTCTCACTGCCGTTGCCCACGTGAGCGTTAAATTACCCCAGCAGAACAAGGGAGTCACCGGAAGGAGCATTCTCCAGCACCCTGTCCAAGGTCTCCAAAAAGGGTGGGTAGTCTGAGCTGTAGTTTGGTGCAAAAGCACAGACCAGTCAGATCCCGTACCCCCACACGTAGGCGGAGGGAGGCTACCCTCTCATTCACTGGGGTAAACCCCAATGTACAGGCACCAAGATGGGGGGCAACTAGTATGTCCACCCCTGCTCGGCGCCTCTCAGTGGGAGCAACTCCAGAGTGGTAGAAAGTCCAACCCCTCTCAAGGAAACTGGTTCCGGAGCCAGTTGAGGTGAGTCAGACTATATCTAGTCGGAACCTCTCAACCTCACACACCAACTCAGGCTCCTTCCCCACCAGAGAGGTGACATTCCATGTGCCAAGAGCCAGCTTCTGTAGCTGAGGATCAGACTGCCAAGGTCCCCACCCTTGACTACCACCCGACACACACTGCACCTGACCCCTTTGGCCCCTCCCACGAGTGGTGAGCCCATGGGAAGGGGGACCTACGTTTCCTCTTCCAGCTGTGCCCGGCCGGGCTCCATGGGTGAAAGCCCGGCCACCAGGCGCTCGCCAACGTGCCACACCTCCAGGCCTGGCTCCAGAGGGGGGGCCCGGTGACCCACCTCCGGGCGAGGGAACACGGTTTCCATTTATATTATTCATCATAAGAGGTCTTTGGGGGCTCTTTGTCTGATCCCTCACCTAGGACCTGTTTGCTATGGGTGACCCTACCAGAGGCAGAAAGCCTCAGACAACTTAGATCCTAGGATCATTGAGACACTCAAACCCCTCCACCAAGGTAAGGTGGCAGCCCAGGGAGATTCACATTCATATATGTCATTTTGTGATTTTTTTTTACTGACTCGTTGAATTCTTCATGCTGGTCAAACTGGGAACATCTTCATTTACTTGCAGGCATTTTTAAAAAGTAAAAAATTTTTTTTAGATCATCCAAATTTTAATTGTCCTCAGATTTTTTAAAAGCTTTTTACTATTTGAGAATACATTTCACTCACCAAATTACCATGATATGCTAAATTGTAACTGTAATAGATTTTAGTGTAAGACATAATTTATAGAATTTTATGACTCATTTATTAAAATTTTCATAATTATTTCATCTCGCAGCTAGGATTTACAGCATCACGTCTCAATTCACAACCAGCAGAAGAAACTTCTGACTCTGATTAATAACATCTAACCTAATCAAGCACTAGAAAAATAAATCCTTTGAACAGTCACAGTTTTAAAAATAGTTTGGTCATTTACAAAATTTGCTTTAAAAACTTTAAATAATTTAGAAATAATTTATTAATATTCTTTCTGGAGATGAAGACCTGAACAGAACAGTAGAGCGTTGTGCAGTTTTTACAAACAACTAAATTATTCAGATAACTTTTAAAAATAAAACAATAATTAAAGTAGTTTAACTTATGCTAAATAGACACAGCAGGACTGAATAAACAACATTTCCAGTGAAAAAGCAACACAAACGTTCACTGAATGGAACTAAAAGCTGACTCCCAGCCGGAACTTTGGAGTGTGACGTACCAGAAGTAAACAATAAAGGCGGAAGTAGCAGCTAGTGAGTCCTCGGCTAGCAGGCGCTTGTATTTTTGCTTCTCAGTCGAATGCTTCAGGAGTTTCAGCCGCCATGTCTTCAGTTCAGCAACTGAGAGAGTTCATCAGCAAGCGCCTAGCTGCTGCTGCTAAGGAAATATTCTCCGAGTTTGAGAAAACCATCGAAGAAGAGCTGGAAGCTCAGCGCAGACTGCTGGATATCAGCTGGGATCCGCACAGAAACGGTTCGTAGCTCCAGAGTTCTGCAGGTTCCTGCTGAGGACATCAAGCAGAACTCTGGAGATCCGTTCTCCCGGGTTACTAAACCTTCTTCTCAGCTTTGACTTAATTCTACCGGGATTAGTTACGGACTCTAATCTGCTAGAGAACAAGTGAAGGAGCAGCTGCAGCATTTGTAGATTTAAGTAACGGAGTAACGCATTTAATACATGTGTCTGGTGCACCATGCAGGATTCCCCAGGGGTTTGTGATTTACAGCTGTTAAAAGGTGCGCGCTCCCGCTTCTACAGTCAGTTATGTTGTGCACGCGCACCCAGGTCAGGATGCATTGTAGTGGAAGAAAGTCAATCTGGAGGTTTCCTCCATGTTCCGTTATAAAATAATCCCACGCACGAGCCAGATGCATACAGGTGACTAATCAAAACCTAGAGAGTTTTGTTCTTTTATGCATGGTGAATGGCCACTATTTGATATAGCGCCTCTAGAGTCATGGAACTCCCCAAGGCGCTTTACAACACGAACAGTCATTCACTCATTCACACACACATTCACACGCTGGTGGGGATGAGCTACGATGTAGCCACAGCTGCCCTGGGGCGCACTGACAGAGGCGAGGCTGCCGAGCACTGGCGCCACCGGTCCCTCTGACCACCACCAGCAGGCAACGTGGGTTAAGTGTCTTGCCCAAGGTCACAACGACAGCCACAGACTGAGCGGGGCTCGAACCTGCAACCTTCCGATTACGGGGCGAGCACTTAACTCCTGTGCCACCGTCGCCCCCACTTATGCCAAAGTTAGGGTTTGGGTTAGTTATTACATTATATCTGAGGCTAAAATCAGCCATAATAACCAGTCAAATCTGCTTTCAACACGTTTCTGAGCGACAGCACGAGGTGAAACAGTTTATTCATAAAACTCTGGTTCCTCTTATAAATGGCTAATAAACATTTTATAGATATGTTAATAGTTAAAAAAGCTGTTATACATTATTTGGGGCGAGAAAGAGAAAACGGACCGTTTGTGTTGGATGATGATGATAATGGACTGCTGCTGTCCAGTGGTGCCAAAAGTAGTCACATTCATTACTCAAATCAAAGTAAAGATACAAGGTTTTCAAAAGACTTTTTTAGAAGATGAAGTATCAACTCAAGCTTTTTATTCAAGTAAAAGTATAAAAGTACAGGTTTTAAAACTACTTAAAGTAAAAAAGTGGAAGTAATGTAAGGGAATAAAAATTACATTAATGACATTAATAAGCTTGGGTCATGCCGCAGGGCCTACAGTCCACCCACAGAACAACATACAGTTACCAATAGGCTTTGTTCAGCCACAAAAGCACCTTGTTCTCAAAGTTCTTTGAGCGAATGCATGCTCTTCTTGGCCTGAAGATCAGCCCTGCAACAGCAAACAGTCTTTCACAGGCTGCTGAGGCAGGCAGTGCCGTGTTAAGCTGAGGTGAAAGCTGGCACACAGCTGGGAAGGACCTCAGCACCTCTAATGTTTCTCCTGGGCACCCAAGGTATGCATCCAACTGCTGGCTTATTTCAAGTGGGCCGGTCTTCTTCAAGGAGGAAAAGAAGTCCTCTTCCTCAGATGAGATCAGCGAGGAGCCCTCACTGATATAATTCTCGACCTGGCAATCCAAGTGGCTTCTGATATAGCCAAGGCCTGTAGAATAAAAAACAAAAATCAGGACAATTTAGATTATTTGACAGTATTATAATTGCGTACTGGAGTGTGTGTGTGTGTGTGTGTTTTAGGGCTGCACAATATATCGAAAAATTATCATTGCGATAACAGGACGTGCGATAGGCCCATCGCAAAGCACCTCAAAAACAGCGATAAATGTTTGGTTCAAACATTTCCATCCATGTCATACATCAACTTTTTGTAAACCAGCTCTGTTTTTTACGCGGAAGTATTATTTGACCAATCAAATGTAGCCCTTTTGATATGCAGCCAATCAGATGGTTCCGTTCACATAATACGCCCACCTCCTACGTAGACCCTTATGGAAAGCAACACCCGAACTGAGTTTGCGTCGCCGTTCCCTTGTTCGTCATGCTGGCTCAGAGCAACGAACGCACTTTGTGCTGAGGTTTCTGTAATCAGCGCTACTTGTGAACGTGAGTCCGCTCGGTGTTAATCATTTTTACCGGGCTGACTCCGACACGTGCCGGTGAACCAACCCACCTTCATGTCGCTAGTGTTCCACCTAGCCCAGGCTCCGGTTAGCTTCCAGCTTAAAGGCTACAGCACTCTCCTCCCAGTCCCACCCTGCTAAAAGGGGGCCTGGAAAAGTTCCCCCACACATCAAAGTAGTTTTTCTTATTAATTGATGTTTTAATTATTTTGTCACTCTGTTTGGAATCAAAATAATATAGAATAACATGCTTTAGGTAGATCTAAATCATTTAGAATTTTGGCCGGTAAAAAATATGCTTGGCCGGTAGATTTTCATCATCTACCAGCCAACTTGACCGGTGAGTAAAAAATTTAATTTCGGACCCTGGGTGCGAACGATCTTCTCTCTGATGTTGATTTCTGTGTGGATATCATTTATGGCACCAGCCAGGGCAGACAAGGTATGCGGCCCTTTAAGTTGCTTGCATGCCAGGGCAGCACAGAATCTTTGCATGGTCTCGGGATTAAACCAGTGTGCAGTAACACCAATGAAACTGATGTTGTGCTGTCCAGCAATCTGTTGTTGTTGCTATGAACTCAATTTCACTAAGGTCAGCTTTCAGTTTTCTTTTCATTTCTGCAGATGCCTTTGTGACTTTGTTTACAACAGTGTTGCGTGTCATGACATTTGTATTTGGCTGAAGATTCTCCAAGATCAATGAAGCCCTGTTGCTGAACAATGTGTGGTGGGTGCAAGCCTTGGACAATGAATTTGAGGACTACTTTATCCACACTTTCCTGGGACACTCTTTGAGTTTCCCACAGCTTGCTTTGCTTGGAGAGTGTGGGCAAAACTTCAGTGGATGACTTCCTTTTGAGAGCAGCTTTAGTAAGTTGCGTTCACTTCAGGCACTCGAAGAGTACAGATGCTTCCCTCTTTCGCTCCCTTATCTTTTTTTCCCAAGGCTCTTTGTCCTGTGTGCCCACAGAGCGCTTCTCTGCATTTCTTCTGAAAAACTCTATTTTTACTAACCATGGATTTGATAAACTGGTCATTCAATGTGATCGATAAGATTTTTTCAACAATGAGAACGGAGCAGGGGGCTCCCACATGTCCACAGGGGACACATCCGGTGGGATATATGTTGGATTCCTGGAAAGAGTGGAAGATCATATGCCTCTGCCAGCTGTCCATTGAGGACATCGAAGACATGTGGACATTCAGCCTGATGATCACTGGATTTCTCCTGATTGGAGTGGGAGGATATCTGGTTTTCTGGAAATTTGGGACGACGGGAGCGATTGGAGGGTGATCCGCACCCACGGAAAGCACCGTCCATGTGGAGACTTCTCAGACTGGGACGTTACTCGAGGTGAATCATAAGTTGGACAATGTTCTAGCTGCCATACCGGTATTATTGCGCAAAATGGATGTCATCTCGGAGAGAGTCACCAGACGGTATGGACAGGTTTAAAAACCTAAAATTGGCTTCACTGAAGGACTGGAAATGATCAGTTTAAAGACTGAAGGCAGATAGGAAAATAATTTTGCATGGCAGGAATGTTTTCAGGCCAGAAGTAGGTTTTTGAGTTATTTCATTGTGTAGAAAGTGTGCATGTAATTGGTTTACACAAAGGTAGGTTTCATTCAAATCTTTAGTTCTCCAACTCTAAGCTCTCTGCTCCAAGTCGGCTGTTGCGTTTCAGTTGCAAAGCGTTAACTCATTTACATACAAAAAGTAAGCTCCCTGCTTGGAGTAGGCGTCAGCAAGTGTGGTCCCCCACATGACTTTAATTTATTTTCAACTGAATTTGGCTGATAACCTCTTAACAAAGACCCTTAGGGCCTGAGCGCACACATTCATACACAGACAGGATCATGCCTATATTTAGTACTAGGGATACACCGATGGATCGGCATTTAATTGTAATCGGCCGATAGCGCCCCTATCGGTTTTGATCGAAATTTTCAAAATAGATCAAAGCAGACTGATCAGGTAGGGTTGTCACGGTAACCAGTGTAGCGGTAAACCCCGGTAAAAAAAAAAGTTGACAATAATAATAACCGTCTTGTTTTTAAAAAAAAACTATATTATCTTGGTGGGTTTACCGTGGCTGCGGTGTAGGCGCGGTGACCCTTACCAGCCACTGTATCATCTGCTGAAGTTGCCGGCGGCACATGCGCGCTTTGATGTTTACAACCAAAACTTTCTTGAAGCTAAAGCTGAAATAATGGCCAAAGGAGGAGACGGCAGCGCTCAGGAGGACATTTTTTATCCCTCAAAGAAGACAAAGTCGGAATTACGGGCATCTTTTAGATATTTGAAGAATGCCGAGGGAGTTTATAGAAGACGGATGGCTATCCTGTTTGCAGCACATGCAGAAAAAGTGTCTGTGAAAGGCAGCAACGCTTCAAATCTCATGACACATCTGCTTGACCATCACCCACAACTCTACAGTCAACGCAAGGCAAGCTAACGTTAGCGTTTTAGCTAAAATGCATGATCCGAGGATTTGGGTTGAGGGAGAATGCAACGAGTCGCTTATATAAAGCAGCCGCAGCGCCGCTACCTGCATATAAATCGTGTCGCGGACACCCCCATGTTGAAATGACGCTATGCATTACGGGGCTCCCAGGGGCAGATAAGAGTTGGTCTCTCTCCGAGAATAATTATGAATTTAACAATGATTACTGCCTGATGACATTTTCCCACATCTACACAGCTCATTGGAAGGACACAAACCGAGGACAATATTTTCCTGATATAGGGTTTATTACTCAAGTAAGGGTAAAAAAGTATCTGATTAGAAGGGTACTGGAGTACTGACTATCATCTGAACTAATATTTTTAAAATGATGACACCAAACAGACATAAAGTAAGAAGTTATGGGCAAATATTGGCATTTTAAAGACTAAAGGGGAAAAATGTAAACAAATAAACTACATAATTACAAAATAACACATTTTAGGCAAAATTTAGACACAAACTGAGGACAATATTTCCTGACATACAGAGTTTATTTAATTGTGTGAAAATGTAGCATGTTTAAAAAAAATATACCGCGATAATACCGAAAACCGTGGTAATTTTGGTCACAATAACCGTGAGGTTAAATTTTCACACCGTATCGGTGATCGGTATCAGTGATCAGCATTCTCTGATATCGGTATCTGTGATCGGCAACAAAAAACCTGATCGGTGCATCCCTATTTAGTACATGCTTTATCAACCAGATGTAAACTATAGTAGACTTTTCTTACATATTTATTTTAACTTGTAATAATTATTAGTTTTAACCAGTCTTAATACTTTGTGGTACAATATTTTATAAATGTAATTATGTTTCTACTTGGTCATGTTTTATCACTGTGTTTTATTTAGATTTTTATTCATCAGCTGTTTATGTTTAATTTATTTCTTAACTGTTATCTTAGTCTCATTAGTAAACTAGTGTTTCCTCTGTGGGGGCTGGCTGCCCTGGGGGCAGCGGTGGACTGTGGCGGCTGGGGTGCTTTATTTGCCTACTCTTACCAAGGCTATTGCTGCCAGTCTTGGTGCTCCTGGTGCAGTTGGCTCCTTTGATGGCGTTTTCGTCTTCTTTATATATGTTACATCTGCACTCAGCCGGCGGCCCTTTCTTTATTATGTGTGTGCATGTGCGTGCGTGTGTGTGTGTGTGTGTGTGTGTGCGTGCGCGCGCGCGTAGGACTTTGCATCTGCTTGGGATGGGATTGAGGGTGGGAAGAGGGAGAAACAAAGGGGATCTCTTATGTGAATCTGTGTGGGAGGGGTGGGAAACCAACTGCTGTCTGGTTGTTTTTAATATTGTAAAGCACTTTGAGCTACATTTGCATGAAAAGCGCTTCATGAATTAGATTTTTTTTTATTGATATAGGTTTGCACAATTTAAAATAACTTCGAATTATTCCATATAGCAACAATATAAGCTCAGATAATAATTGACTAGTCTAATTTAAAATGTCAAACAAAGCCAATCAAACAAACTTGCAACATTAAATCTTAGCTAACTGCTAGTAAGCAAACCGTAGCATGTACCCAGGCATACATTGAAAATTTACCATTATTATGTTAGTAGATTACTACTGTTGGGGTTATCAGGAGCGAACACTTAGTAAGCTTCAACTTACTTTTGGATTCTTCAATAAATTCTGTAAATATGAGAATATTTACTGATTTATTAATTAATTAAGATATTCTTAGACATCTCCGGGGCACCACCCCGTTCTACCGGGGAAAAATTGAATCCAAAACTCTTATCAGTCTTTCTTGAAGTTCATAGAATCCTTGGAGCAGAGACTTCTCTTCGACACAATAAAGCTACTGGAGACAAAAATCTGAATTTTATAACGTTTAATTAACAATTTGTCAAATGAATAAACAGTGGCATAAATGAATAATAACCATGTGATATAATAAAAGGATGTATATTCAAAATAATGTTCAAGGTGTTTTGTGTGTATGTATGTATGTGTGTGTTTCTAAAATGGAGTCTGTATACAAGATGGCTGACCCCTTTGTCTGGCTAAAGTGTGGGTGGCAACTTGCACTTTAACTTCCAAGGCACTTAGAATCATAAGTAACTTAACCTTAAATTCACTCAAAACACTTCAAAATGGTCATGAAACAACCCAAAAGATTAATCCTGAATTAATATCTGATAAGTTTGTCAGCTTGGCCACAGCTAACAAACACAACCCAGATATTTAAACAATCAAACAAACGAAAGATCTTACTTCACGGCAGATATCTATAACGTGTTTGATTACGGAAGATAGAGAAAACCGTGGGTATTTTGAAGCAATAGCGCGGTTTAATTGCTTATTCTGGACTATAGAGGAAACGGGAGAAGAAGGAGAGAGAGAAGGAGATGAGTTTCTGATCACCAGAACAGTGAAGCGTCCCTCACTGTTTGATTTGACGGTTCTCCGTGTTTCTCCGCAGTTTGGCGTCGTCCGTCGGTTTGATGCTTTCTCCGTTGTTTCCCTCCACGAGTGTTTCTCCACGGGCTGGACAGAGACAGCAAAGTTTCTTTCTGTGCTGAGTTATAACTTAAAGCGTGCTTGATGGAGTTGTTGCTTTCCTCCGCAGTTCTGTGTCCTCAAACATCAGCTGGAGGGGAGCAGAAACGAGCAGATCTGATGGGCTTGCAGTTTAGTTTTCCAGCGGTCCCGTGGGCTCAACTTGGGCACTTAGAGCTTCCGCGTGCTCAAGGGAGTCGGAGCGTTCGACAAGCGTGTCCTTACCGCCAGGTATCCTGGGCAAAAGAACGAAGTTTCTTTGTCTTTGTTGATGATTTATAGCCTGAGTTCGCGGGAAAGCGTCCATGAGCTCCCGCCTCTCGCAGAACGTGTTTCTGGTATTAGGCGGTGACATCATCCCAATGCTTCCGTGTGCAAAGCATCATGGGAAATGAAGTTTCTTGGAGCTGATGTGATCATTTGCTTTTCAGAGCAATTTAAGCACAGTCATTTTGGAGAAAATCACTGCATAGTAATTTCCTCATGAGGTCAGACCCTCAACACCACTATATTTTGTCAGTAATAGGGTGATAATAGGAAACTTTTAGCTTACCTCAATATGCTTTTTCAAGTTAAGCCTGATTTATGCTTCTCCGTCTGAGTCAGTGGGGAGACACGCAACGCCATTATCCGTCCTTGCGTAGAGATCCGGCAGGCACGCAAGTACGTACGGAGTCGAGCCCACTTTTTTAAACATCCGTCGAACGAGACTGATTACGCAAGCTTGTGATTGGTCAGGACGCCGCTGTTGTTTACAGCGCCGCCATTGCAAAGAGAGCCGAGTTTAACTAGCGGCAGACACGGAGAAGCTTGAAGAATACCTCGCAAAAAAACTCTAAAAATATGAACGTTTCATTCTCCCGTGACTGGAGGAGTGAAAAGATGCGCAGCAAGCGTTTTATTTGTGGACGGAAATGACAGGAAACGTGGGTTTAGAGGTGGGGAGCGCATGAAGAGGTGGGAGAATGAGAGACAAATATGTCCGTGTTAAAAGTCTCTTATGTACACAAAAAACACAATATAAACACACTATCTTGGACCGATACATGACAGGATACCACAGAATAGCGCTACGCCCTCTGGTGTCCTGCCGGGGAATTGCTTTGCAACACTCTCCAGGAGACGGAGAAGTATGAGAGCAAAACGCTTCCGTCAATCCGTGCGTGTCTGTCCCTTGCGGAGCTGACGGAGAAGCATAAACCAGGCTTTAGATGGTGAGGTTTTGAAAGCCATCAGCTTGTGGTACTTGGGTGCACAGAGCTTGCAGCACATTTGAAATGAGTTGTTTTCGCATCCAACCAATTCAAAAAAATTCTTCCAGGTATGGCCAGGGATGTACAGGGGTTGGCTTGTCTTCCAGGCTATCAGCGTCCTCACGGGTACTTGGTTCAGACATCTTGTTAGCAAGTTATTTTGCCTCTCCGCCCAATGCTACTGCTACAACATACATTTGCTAATGATCTTACATCCTGGAGTGTCACATGATTTGTGTCACGTGCAGTTGCGCTGACCAATAGCATGTCGGAATGGTAGGTCTCATCCAACCACAATCAAACCTTTGTTTTTCACCGACGACGATCCAGAATAAAAACAAGCCGAAATGAAGTGTGAGTAACGAGGTTATTTTTTTAAAAGTAAGGAGTAGAAAGTACAGATAATTGTGTGAAAATGTAAGGGAGTAGAAGTATATAGGCAAAAAAATAATTACTCCAGTAAAGTATAGATAACCAAAATTTCTGCTTAAGTAAGGTAACAAAGTATTTGTACTTCATTATTTGACACTTCTGTTGCTGTCTTAGTGAAGTTGAAGCCTTCCTAAATGATCGACCAATCACCACCTGTGTCCAGGTCCTGTTACACAACACTCATGTCTATTTTATCACTGATCGGTTCTCGGTTTTCCACCTTTAATTACTGTGTAAGTTATTGACAAACAAATGTTTTGATTAATAACTTATCCTTAAACTGTTTATTAACCATTTATAAGGGGAGCCAGGTGGTAAAGTGATGTCCTGAACAGGTGTGTCCAGGTGGGAGCTATCTGGTGTTGGTGACTCACCTGGAGGCAGATTTGAGTTAGAGAGCCACCTGAAACTCCACGTTGGAGCTGCACATCTGGATTCAGTAGTGTAGTTTTTCTCCAAGTCACCACAGATGTTACTGTAGATGCAAACAACCATCCAGGTTACTCAGAACTCACGGTGCTGCTCCACATGTTCTGAAGGTCTTTTGTGGCTTGCAGCTGGTGCCTCATAAATGACAGTGACTAATGAACACCAGCAGCTGTTGAACTGAGTTATTTGTGATACCTGAGTCGTTTCAGCTCTCATGTTCAGAGGATCTCATCAGTGAGTTGGAACAGATGATGGAACATTGACACAGTTGTCCTTATGTGTCCATGGTTCCCTGCATGGCTCCTGCTGATGTTACAGCACTCTGAGTCTGTGGAACTTGTTCACATCCAGACCTCTTTTGTGTCTTATCCTGCAGAACTCCAGGAGCAGAATGTCTGGAAGGAGAAGAAGGTTCTGATGAGCTACAGTCACGATCAGGATCAACCAGAGCCTCCACAGCTCAAAGAAGACCTGGATGATCCAGAACCTCCACGGATCAAAGTGGAACAGCTGGAACCAGGACTTCCCCAGTTTGAAAGGGAACTGCAGGAACTCTGCAGCAGTCAGGAGGTACAGCAGCTGGTGCTGAAGCAGGAGACGGATGCTTCCACCGAGCAAGACGGTGACTTTGGTGAAGCAGACCCAAACACCGAGCAGCGTTACTCTCCTGCAGCTGAGATCCGAGATCAGGGAGGAAACGGCTCCTCCGTGTCAGCGAACCCAGACACGGGTACATCTGTAAAATGTTCCCTTTGTGAGAAGAGCTTTTGGAATAGGTACAGTTTAAAGAGGCATCTCCGAGTTCACTCAGGAGAGAGGCCATATCCCTGTAAGACATGTGGGAAAAGGTTCTCGGACGCCAGCGGTCTGACCAAACACATTAGAATCCACACGGGAGAGAAGAGGTTTTCCTGTGACATCTGCGGGAAAAGTTTCAGTGAATGTGGGAATTTAAAAGTCCACAAGAGAACGCACACGGGCGAGAGGCCGTATCCTTGTGAGACATGTGGAAAGAGCTTTTCTCAGAAGAGTGCGTTGAAGTACCACATGGAGACCCACAAAGGAGACAAAACATTTTCCTGTAGAACCTGCAGGAGAAACTTCATCCATAACAACAGCCTGCTGAAGCACATGAAGACCCACGCCGGGAAGTCGGTTTCCTGTCAGACGTGTGGGAAGGGTTTCAGCGACAATCATACTTTAAACGTCCACATGAGAATGCACACCGGGGAGAAGCCGTTCTCGTGTGCAGCTTGTGGGAAACAGTTCAGGACCAGCAGCAATTTATATGTTCACAAGAGAACCCATACGGGAGTGAAGCCGTATTCCTGTTTGACATGTGGGAAAAACTTCAGCTGTGGGATTAACCTGAAGGTCCACATGCAGACTCACGCTGGTGAATAAGCACAGGCTGGTAGGAGAGCGGGCATGTTTGGTTTGTTCCATGTCAGAGCTCCTCAGCCAGAGCAGCTTGGAGGATGTAAGGAGGCCTAAAGCTCACCGTTTCCCTGCCAGACGGTTCAGGTGGTGCTAGGGTTGGGCATCGAGCAACGATTGGAACTGGTTCCAATTGTTAGTTTTTCCCGGAATCATTCAAAGTTTTTTTTCCGATTCCTAGAATGCCGACAGAAGAGGAATCTGTGAATGTTTTAATGTTTAAAATCTGTTAGATTGTTACTGACAGCAGCTACATTTAAGTTTCACTTTCTGTTCTGACTGAATGCTGCCGCAGCATGGAGGTGTAGTTCTCAGTCATCCTGGACCAGATCATCCTGAGAGTTTTAGCTGAAAACAGCTGGACGTTTCTGATGTGTTGGAGACATTTAGCCTCTCATCGCAGAGGCTTCTTCCAGACTTTGGTTGTGGTCAGAAACAAACACACTGGTTGTGCTGCAAGTCTTTTTCTTTTTTCCCCAAAACATGTTTTTGTCTAAATGAAGGTGATGTTGTTGTTCATAGAATTAAAATTCATGTTTAAGTTAAGATTATTTCATCAAGTTGGACCTGCGGTTAGCTGGCTCATGTAAAACATGTCATGTCTTCAAAGAGTCTGAATCGGAAATCGATAGGAACCATAATCGAAACGAGGAATTGGAATCGGAATCGTTCAAAATCAAACGATGCCCAACCCTACTTCTGACATGTTTCAGGTTCTACTGAATCAGTCGGTTTCATGAGAACTTTTAATGTTTTTATTGTAATCACTCTGCCTTTATGGACTTGAAGATCAGATAATGTTTCTGAATGGATGCAAATTAAGTTTAGTCTTAGTCCAAAAGATTTTTAATCTCATTTCTGTCTCGTCTCTAGAAGTAATAATGGGAAAAATGTTTTTGAGTCATTCTGCATCATGTCAGGCTGATTTTCTCCATCTGCTGTCAGACTGAAACCAAGACGATGAAACCACACAGCAGCTTCAGCTGAGCTGTCAATCATCATCAGCAGCAGGGGCTGATGGGAGCTGAGGAGCTGGTAAAACCACGTGGCCCTGGTCTGATCTTGTTTGGCCTCAGCTGCATCAGAGCACCACTTCTCCCCAGGTTCACCAGAGGAAACACCACTGAACAAAATGTGTTTCCTCCCAGCTGCTGCTCTGTGCTGTCTGTGTTCAGGTGAGTGTTTCCAGCCAATCAGGAGCCAGCACACTCCACCTGGAACAAACCTTCTCCTGTCTGTCTGTGTCCCTACAGCGCTGGTTACCATGGCAACACAGCTGACTCAGGAGGTAACACTGACCAGGAGAGCTGGTGAGAGAGTCTCCATCAGCTGTGGAGGAACTCAGGTGTGTACTTTAAGCTGGATATACTGGTACCAGAAGAAAGACACAGAAACATTCAAAGCTGTTCTTGGATTTGATGCAAGTAATTCAGAAGTATATAAAGGTTACGGTCATCCTCAACAAGATGAGTTCTCAGCTGAGAACAATCAGAACGGCTGTGAGTTAAAGCTAAACAAAGTCCAACAGGAACATGCAGCCTCGTACTACTGCAGCTGTTGGGTTTCTGGTCTCCACAGAGAGAGATGATCCCTGCAGGCTGAACAAAAACCTCCAGATGAACAGAAGTCAGACAGGAAGAGAGCAGCAGACCTCAGCAGCTTACCATGCTTCATCTCCATGCTGTGGTCAGATGATGGAGTTTCTCACTGCTGTTATTATTAGTTCGTGTTTATTCATTCTAGTTTGTTTTATGTTTTAGAAATAAAATGAAAATAAACTGAAGAACAAAATTTTCAGGTGTTCATCAGTCATTTTGCCTCATTCTAGGGTTCTATAAACAGCAGATTTCATTCATTCATCGGATCTGATTCATCACTAAAAATAAGTGATGTTTTCATCTGAGGATCCAGGTGAGTCTGGAAGGATTTATTTAAACAGACGTAAAGATATTGTGTCTCATTTTAGCTGACTCAGCCAGGATCACTCTGACTGGTCCACACGGCTGACCAGTAAGGAACCAGTGGAGCCACGCCCACCAGTACCCTGACACCAGTAGTAGTTGAGGGGGGGGGGGGGGGGGTATGAAGGTGACAACATACAATGAACCAACAACAGATAGACGCAGACAGGGTTATATATACTGGGGAATGATGGGAGGCAGATAGGTTGCAGGTGTGTGGGGAGAGAAACCAAGTGAAAGCAATTAACTAATCAGGGAGGAAACTAACATGACCTAAGAGTAAAAAACCTAAAGTCAAGATTAGCCAGCAAAACTAACTAATGTTCTAAGGGGAAGGAAAAACGACAAAACCCGGTGGGAAGACATACTGAAGAGACTAATAAAATGAGAAGCTGAACCTATAAAAAAACTGCAGAGGGGTGACTGGGGGAGACTGAAGGAACACAGGACCTGGGAGGTAATATCTGGAGGGCTGCAGACCAGGGGACACAAGGGCGGAAATCCCATTTCAATTTTGGGGGGACAATAAACAGTAAAACTTCAGAGAGTAATTTTTGGGGGGGACATGAAAAAAAATGCTCTCGACATACAACACTGTATGTCCTTATAAGAGACTGACCTGAGACTCTGCCTGTGTCTGACAGGCTCTGGCTGCCTGTGCTCAAGTGACTGGACTTTGCCTAAAGAAACCATTTAGAAACAATTTCATTTCTTTCTTATAGATGTCTTTATCAAAATGCAAGTTTCTACTTACTTGACGTTCTGGAGCATTAAAAAACGACCTGATGTCTGCCGTTTTTCATTTCTCTGCCATTTCAACTGACCTGGTCTGCTGACAGTTGGACAGCAACACACACACAGATGGGATATTGTCATTAGAACGGAGCTGGAGGATATTGATCAACAATAATATCTTGCCAATTTTGTACATCTTCATAAGCATCCTTTCTTTTTGTTTTCATTTCAATAACAAGACTGTGGCGTAAAACGGAATAAGCAATTCAGAATAAAGATTTAAAAGTAGATCGTTAATAGTTGAAGCAACAACAGCTATTAGCTGACCAACAGCTACACGTGCGGACGGATGCAAAGCATTAATTTTAAGTACTAAAACATATCTAATTTTTTCACAACAAAGAGAGAGAACATAAAATGTCAAATTAAAATGTTATTAAATCACATAACATGAAAGCTACTAAAATCCAAATAGTTCATATTGATTTTAATATATTTGAAATTTTCCTTCTAAATATGTCTAGAAAAAATAACAAACTTCAAATCATCTTTCACAAGTCAAGTATCAAAATGACTGAAATCTCTTTAATAAATCAGAAATGTTTGTAGGCTATTAGAGAATAACTCTGTAATATTTAATAACTTTATCTAAGTCCTACTGAACGAAAAGATACACAAAATCTAAAAATATATTCTTGAAATATTTGTTTCATTTTAATAATGAAAATTAAAAACTTTACTTTACAAATACACTAAACATAATTATACATACTCTATAGTTTATCTTTCAGTTTAATCGATCTCTCACTTTTCTCAGTTTTCATTGTGTTTTTGGGTCTGTGTGGCCAACGGGATCTTTGGCTCTATGTTTTACACTGAGAGCTTTGAGCAACGTGCCTCCACCACACATTTGCTGCAACCAGTTCATCCCTAAGCTGCACGGTGCACCTGCACTTTGACATATTGTAAACAACTGCAGAGCCTGGGGAAGACGGGATAAGAGTGGTTAAACGCTGTGGTTTTCCATACATCAGACCAGTTAATTTTGATTCTACCATTTTCATCTGCTAAATAGGATGAAACGCAGACATTTTCATCGATCTATAAATGCTCTGCAGATTCCAGGGGCAGACCATGAAAGCATACGTGTCCGTAAAAAGGAACTTTTGATCACCTTAGTGAATGGAATTATAATAGTGGAATAATCCTGGAATGACCAGAGAACATGAAGTGACAACTTTTTTTTACTGTGGTGGTGGTGGTCTGTCATAAAGGGATCTCCGACCGGTGATCAAAATCAAAAGATAATCGGTGTCTATGTTTGACATTTATGACCACATTTGACACACATATTTAAGTTTGTAGAACAAGCGTGTGATAAATGACTTACTGCTGGAAACCGCTGGCTTTTTGATTCCTGCCTCTTGTGAGCCTGCGGGCTGCTGTGAAGCTGTGAGCGGGGCAGAGCCGAAAGCCCCGCCCATTGGAAACAGAGTGTGTGTCCCTCCACCATGTCCTGGGTCTACCTTTAGGTCTCCTCCCGGTTGGACGTGCCCGGAAAACCTCACCAGGGAGGCATCCTGACCAGATGCCTGAGCCACCTCAACTGTCTCCTCTCGATGTCAAGGAGCAGTGGGTCTACTCCGAGCCCCTCCCGAATGACCGGGCTTCTCGCCCTATCTCTAAGGGAGAGCCCAGATCCAACTAGTGAACAAGACCCTGAGATACCTAAACTCCTCCACTTGGGGCAGGACCTCATCCCTGACCCGGAGAAGGCATTCTACCCTTTTCCGAATCAAGACCATGGTCTCAGATTTAGAGGAGCTGATTCTCATCCCAGCTGCTTCACACTCGGCTGCGAACTGCTCCAGCGAAAGCTGAAGATCACGTTCTGATGAAGCCAACAGGACCACATCATCTGCAAAAAGCAGAGACCTGATCCTCAGGCCACCAAAACGGATGCCCTCCGCACCTTGGCTGTGCCTAGAAATTCTGTCCATAAAGGTTATGAACAGAATCGGTGACAAAGAGCAGCCTTGGCGAAGTCCAACTCTCACTGGGAATGAGCCCGACTTACTGCCGGCAATGCGGACCAAGCTCTGACACCGGTCATACAGGGACCTAACAGCCCGTATCAGAGGGCCTGGTACTCCATACTCCCGGAGTACCCCCCACAGGGCCCCCCGAGGGACGCGGTCAAACGCCCTCTCCAAATCCGCAAAACACATGTAGACTGGTTGGGCAAATTCCCACGCACCCTCCAGGATCCCCCTAAGGGTATAGAGCTGGTCCAGTGTTCCACGACCAGGACAAAAACCACATTGCTCCTCCTGAATCTGAGGTTCAACAATCCGACGGACCCTCCTCTCCAGAACCCCTGAATAGACCTTACCAGGAATGCTCAGGAGTGTGATCCCCCTGTAGTTGGAACACACCCTGCGGTCCCCCTTTTTAAATAAGTGGACCACCACCCCGGTCTGCCAGTCCAGTGGGACTCCCCCGATGTCCACGCGATATTGCAGAGCCGCGTCGGCCAACACAGCCCCACAACATCCAGAGCCTTAAGGAACTCCGGGCGGAACTCATCCACCCCTGGAGCCTTGCCACAGAGGAGCTTTTTAACCACCTCAGTGACCTCAGCACCAGAGATTGGAGAGGCCAACCCTAAGTCCCCAGACTCTGCTTCCTCACTGGAAGACGTGTCGGTGGTATTGAGGAGGTCTTCAAAGTATTCTGCCCACAGATCTACAATGTCCTGAGTCGAGGTCAGCAGCACACCGTCCCCACTATAGATAGTGTTGGTAGCGCACTGCTTTCCCCCCGAGGCGCCGGATGGTGGACCAGAATCTCCTCGAAGCCGTACAGAAGTCTTGCTCCATGGTCTCACCGAACTCCTCCCATGCCTGGGTGTTTGCCTCGGCGACCACCGAGCCGCGTTCCGCTTGGACTGCAGGTGCCCGTAAGCTCCCTCTGGAGTCCCACAGGCCAAAAAGACCTGATAGGACTCTTTCTTCAGTTTGACAGCATCCGTAACCACCGGTGTCCACCAGCGGGTTCGGGAGTTGCCACCACGACAGGCACCGACAATCTTGCGACCACAGCACCGGTCGGCCGCCTTAACAATGGAGGCATGGAACAGGGTCCATTCAGACTCAATGTCCCCCGCCTCCCCTGGAACATTTTGGAAGTTCTGTCGGAGGTGGGTATTGAAGCTCCTTCTGACAGGAGACTCTGCCAGACGTTCCCAGCAGACGCTCGCGATACGTTTGGGCCTGCCTGGTCTGACCGGCATCCTCCCCCACCATCTGAGCCAACTCACCATCAGGTAGTGGTCAGTTGACAGCTCCGCCCCTCTCTTCACCCGAGTGTCCAAGACATGTGGTTGCAGATCAGATGAAACAACAACAAAGTCGATCATCGAGCTGCGGCCTAAGGTATCCTGGTGCCAAGAGCACATATGGACACCTTTATGTCTGAACATGGTGTTCATTATGGACAATCCATGACTGGCACAGAAGTCCAATAACAAAACACCACTCGAATTCAGATCAGGGGGCCGTTCCTCCCAACCACACCTCTCCAGGTCTCACTGTCGTTGCCCACGTGAGCGGTAAAGTCCCCCAACAGAACGAGGGAGTCACTGGAAGGAACGCTCTCCAGCACCCTGTCCAAGGTCTCCAAATAGGGTGGGTAGTCTAAACTGTAGTTTGGTGCAAAAGCACAGACCACAGTCAGAACCCGTCCCCCCACACGTAGGCGGAGGGAGGCTACCCACTCATTCACTGACCATGATAACTTGCCTGTCTGTCTGTCTGTCTGTCTGTCTGCCTGCCTGCCTGTCGGTCTGTCTGTCTGTCTTTCTGTGTCTCCAGTGTCCTTCCAGTCTCAGCTCAGGGTGAAGCTGCTCCTGCTGCTCTACTCAGAGCTGATAGTGAAGAGTCTGGTCTTCTGCTGTGGACTCTTACTGATGATGATCTTCAAGAACAAGGGAGCGTCTACCACCTGCTGACTCCTCACTTCATCTCTGACCCGTTTCTACAGATGTTGGTTCTGACGTCGTCTAGTTGGCTTCTGCTGATTTCACATTTATCAGAATATTTTACACCAGAATAAAACCTTTTTAGAGACTTTAAGAAACGTTTTACTGGAATCTAAGAATAGCTCATTTCATCTCTTTTTGATCTTTATCTGATGCTTGTTGATATTTTACTGCAGTTTCTTTGTTTCATCACGTTTTACAGAATGAAGCAGATCACCCATTTGAATCACAATAAAGTGGAAAAACACAAATTAATTCTAATAAAAAGCTTTTTATCATCAAACAAATAAACAATGTTTGATTTTGTGTGCTCCATATTTGAACTGTTTTTAAAATCTGTTTTTACTAAATCCATAAAAACTAATTTTCAGATCACAAGAAGCAGAAAAAATGCGTTTAATAAATAGAAATATTCTGCAAATCTGTTCTGCATTTGTTTTAATCTGGTAAACATTTACATTTAATGACAGGAAGGTTCTGATGGTTCTTATCTTCAGTTCTAATGAGAACCAGAACAAGTCCTGAGTGAAACGATGCAGAGACTCACGGCTGAAAGGGTCGATAACAGGACCGAGGACTAAGCCCTGTGGGACTCCACACAACATGACAGCAGCTGATGGAAACCAATGAGGAGCAGGTCCACAGAGACTAGACCAGTTAGACGTGAACTAAACAACCATCCAGCTCTGACTGAGAGGAGTAGACTCATCTGAAGGTTCTGCAGGTTTTCATCAACCGACTGAAACAACCAGACTTGAGCTGAACCAACATGGACGTCTGGTCCTGTTTTTGTTTTCAGACGAGGAAAACAACTTGACCTGTTTGTGTCTCTGTGTGGTTTGGGTAGTTCTGATGTCTGACAGCAGAAACACACCAAAGCTGAACTTGTCCTCCTCTAGCTGAGCGACACAGAAAGGCTCATCTGTGAGTTTAGCTCAGAGTAGGAGTGGATCTTCATTCGTTCATGTTTAATAAAGATTTGTGTTCAGTCAGAGGTGATTTCTCAGCTCGGAGTTGTTTTTGTCACAGATGAAGAACTCAGATGCTTCCTGCAGAGATGGTTGAACCAGCCGATGTTTGCAACCGTCGTTATTAAAGAGAAAAGCCACAGCTAACGGCGAGGAGGCTGCAAAGCAGAAACACACAGCTGCAGGAAATCTACTCTGATTGGTTCTGTCCTGATAACCATCTGCTGCTGCTCCCACTCATCCGCCACTTCCTGTTTGTTTATCAGCTTCCTGGAAACATTTACTCATGTCTTTAATTCTCTGGTTCGTGACTAGTTAGGCTGGATCAGCTGATTGTAAATTATTGGGAAAAGTAAGAATAAAAATGATGAATAACTGTAGCATCATTGCCCCTTTAGATATTATTATATTATATTATTTTATTTATTTCTGTGAAGTAAACATAGTGCACATTCATATATCCTTTTATCAATTTTTATGCTATGTCTTTTAATCTCTTCACAAGAGAAGAACCTGGGTGTGATTTTTGACTCTGAGCTAACTTTTATCCATCATACTAAAAATATCACAAAAATAGGTTTTTATCATCTAAAGAACATCGCCAGAGTCCGCCCCATTCTCTCTCGGGCCAACACGGAGATGCTGATGCATGCTTTTCATGCTTTTATCACCAGTAGGATAGATTACTGCAATGCCCTGCTTTCTGGTCTTCCCAAAAAGAGCGTCTCAGGCTTACAACTTCTACAAAATTCGGCAGCACGTGTCCTGATGAAGACCAGGAGGCAGGAGCACATTACACCGGTTTTAGAATCACTGCATTGGCTCCCCGTATGTTTCAGGATAAATTTTAAGGTTCTTCTAATAGTTTTTAAGTGTCTTAATGGTCTTGGGCCTTCTTATCTCTCAGAACTGTTTTTACCATATGAACCCTCATGGCCTCTGTGCTCCACTGGCAGGCATTTCCTGGTCATCCCTAAAGTCAGGAGACACACGGCGAGGCGTCTTACCAGTATTACGGCCCTCGCCTCTGGAACGAGCTGCCAGAGGACCTCAGGGCCGCAGAGAATGTTCATGTTTTTAAGTCCAGGCTCAAGACCCATCTATTTATGTTAGCTTTTATCTAAATATTTACTACAGTTTTATTCCTCGTTTTACATGATTATATTTTAGCATTGTTTTCATTATTTAATATTATTATTTTACTGTCTATATGATTTTATTTATTACTTATTTTCTAACTTTTGTCCCTTATATTAGCTCTTTTATTATATTTTTACTCATTTTAATCCAGTGTTTCCTCTGTAGGGGCCCTCTGCCCCGGGAGCGGTGGTCGACTGTAGCTTCCTGGGTACTCTATAGGTGGGGGTCTGTGCTCCTCCTCCACTGAGCGCCCTGACTTGGTGTGGAAGACCTGATGCTGCTGGGGCAGACCTCTAATGGCGTTTCCTTGCCTTACTTTACTTGGCTCATCTGGACTCAGCCAAATATAATTTTTACTTGTGTGTGTGTGTGTGTGTGTGTGTGTGTGTGTGTGTGTGTGTGTGTGTGTGTGTGTGTGTGTGTGTGTGTGTGTGTGTGTGTGTGTGTGTGTGTGTGTGTGTGCGTGTGCTTGCCTATGTCTGTTGCTGTTTTTAACCTGTTATAGGAATCTGGGGTCATTTTGTAAAGCACTTTGAGTTGCACTTTGTTTGAAAAGCGCTTTATAAATAAATCTGATTGATTGATTGATTATTTAGTATTTATGTATATTACATGTTTATGTATTTAGCAGACGCTTTTGTCCAAAGTGACTTGCAAGTGATAATGATGCTAGCAGGTCGCCCTTGAGGCTAACAACAATATTTACTATTGATAGTGTATATTACTTCTTTAGATGACATGTTTTAAATTCCTGTAATTTAACTCTTTTAGTGTCAGTCGCCCCATTAGTCTGACAGGACAGTCATGTCAGTTATGCTCTATGTGTGTGGAACGTCTGCATAAATGACAAATATAGCTGTCTATGAAATAACACAATAAAATAAACAAATACAAATAAAATGAACATTCATGTAGAATAAAATAGAACATTATAAGACTAATAGAATAATCTAGCACATTCTACAACATGTTAGCACTGTAAAAACTACAGAAAATGTTACCAAATTTATATAATATAGTTTATTCTATATAAAAGCAGATTACTGTAGAATGTTTTAGAGTCTTTGAACAATAGATACAATTTCAGATCAAAGACACAAAACTCTGCCTCTGTGTCATCTTCCTCCTCGTCATCATCGCTGATGACAAGATTAGATGGCACAATAACTGTGCTCCTCCATTTTTCATAGAAATCTAGTAGAAAACTGCAAAATATGTTTAAAATTATAATTATTATTACTGGTACCATCTTTATGAAGGTTCTGCCTACATGTATTTACTTGTTCAGGTTGTTTTCATGCTCCTGGTTAAGTTCAACATACACACACATACCGTACATCCTTATTTAAACTAGTCAGCCGTGTGAGTTTTCTAGACTCGCCATCGTCGGGTTTTAGAGATCCTGTATTCTGCAGACACACCAATAATTGTCACTCAGATTAATTGTTGTGTCTTTCATGCATCTTGAGGACCACATGAGCACCTCTGAGCACTCACGTGTTTTGTGGAGTGGAAAGTGTATGGGTACATGGAGTCAAACTTCTCAGGTATCTTATCAATAATCTTTATTGGAATTTAAATGCTTAGTAACAATCACCGTTGTAAGGTTGTGTGTGCAGCATCCATTAGTTCAGGCACAACATGAATGTTTGAATGAATGAATGAATGAATGAATGAATGTTACATGGTTGGTGTCACAGTGTACAAAGGGTCACACACAAATCAAAATGGTAGACAGTCACAATTATACATCCTCACAGAGTGTGTGTGTGCGTGCGTGTGTGTGTGTGTGTGTGTGTCTGCTCTGCCTTCTCCATCCCCAGTGAGTCATGGTGGATGGCTGCTTATACTGAGCTAGGATCCTCTGGAGGTTTCCTCCTGTCAAAAAGGAGTTTTCCTCCCCACTGTCGCTGCATGCTTGCTTAGTATGAGGATTGCTGTAAAGACTCTGACACTAGTCAGTGACTCGATGCAACCTGCTGGGTTCCTTATACAGGAACCTTGTTACTGATTGGCTTAAAGACCTGACCTGTACTGTGTGAAGGTCCTTGAGATGACTCTGGTCCTGGTTTGGCGTTTTATAAATAAACTGAAGTGATTTTGTAATAATTGTGGTGATCATGACTTGCAGCTGATAAAAACCCACATTCAGAATGTCAGGCAGTTAGAATATTGTGTTAAATCAAATAAGTGGAGAGAGTTGGGACATCTGAACAAACATTATCATGGGTTTTGGCCCTTTACTCGACACCTTTACCAATCATGACGAGGTTTGTTATGAGAAGTTCAGCCTGCTGATCCACAGACAGAAAATCTGAGGTTTGAATTAATCTTTCAGATGTTGGAGCTGCTGGTGGACAGTTCTTTCTTCCTGATGATGATCATCAGAGAGATTCCGGAGCAGAAGACCAGACTCCTCACTATCAGAGCTGAGAACAGGAGGAGGACCAGCCTGTGTCTGAGGTGAGGAACAGGAGCTGAGGCTGGAGAAACCCCTGAGACAGAAACACATGAACATCAGTGATCTGTTCTGTAAACATGGAGCAGAATCTGTGGATCATCAGGTTTTCTTTACTTATTAATCTTCTAGACTCCACCGCCCACCCCTCATGCTGCATGGAGCAGCTGTATTTATATGTGCTGTTCGGGACCAGTAAGATGGCGGCACTGCGTCCTGACTCTCTGAGCTCCAGCTGCTCTCCATCATCAGGACTCAGGTCCTCCAGAGGACCGTCCTCCTTCTGTCTTCTCCAGGAGAAGCGGACCAGAGGAGGAAACATGTCTGAGGCCAGACACATCAGGGAGCTAGTCCCCTCCAGGTGGGATGCTGCAGGGTACATGCTCACCACGGGCTTCACCACCTGCTGATCTGAAGTTAGACATAGAGTCACCAGAGTAACGTCACATGTTCTGTCCGTTCCCGTCTCTCCATTAACCTGCCCTGTCCTCCTGATCTGCCCAGGATCCTCTACGCAACATTCACCAGCTTTGCCACCAGCCTTCCAGCCACACCGCTTGTCCCTGACCGCCTGGAAACATCTGGAGTCCTAATCCCCTGTGCTCAGCTCTCGCTCTCAACCTCTCTGCCTCCCAGCTCACCTTAAACCTGACTTGTCCTCCTCAAAACAGAGCCATCCTGGAAACCGTGAGCTTGTTTGCTTCTCTGATTACCTCCACAACTCCCACCTGTTCTCCCAGAACCCAGCGGAGCTTTTCCTTGACCTTTGGATGAACTCTTGACCTCAAAGCCTAAAATAAATCTCATCGCTGACTTCCTTCTGTCTCCTGTGGTGATTCTTCATGTCGTGGGTCAATAAGCCACCTTCAAACATGACAGTTTAGCTAACTGTTTAGTTTTATTTATGAATGAATAAAATACAAAAATGTATTTATTACTCCATGAAAGTTGTTTTAACTAATGTATGAAAATATATTTTATGGTAAGCAAAAGCATCATTAAAATAAAAAAACAGTCAAGTAAAATAAATTTTAAACAATTTTTTAAAATTATTTAAGTTAAATTTAAACAGTTTAATATAATTTAATAGAAAATGTTTAATGTCGCAACATTAAATCTTAATTTATGATTGTTTTTGTCTCTGGAGCAAACGTCAAGATGTTTGTAATAAACTCTGTTTTCAAACCTTTTTAATGTTTAAAGTATTTAAAATTGTTCTAATTTCACCAGAGTTTGTATTTGATTTTTAATATTTTAATTGTTCTATAATCACCAAAGCGTTAAATAAACCTAAAACAAATATATTTTCTTTTATATTAAAATAATCTGAGTGTTTATGTTTAATGCTTTTATAGTATTTACATTTATGTTTGAAATGATAAACATGTATTTTATATAGTTTATGTGATTACAACAAATTCATAAACAGACCTAAATGTGTCATAATTATATCAAATATGTCTTATTAATCAGGTTTTTGGCTCTGCTGGTTTGAGGATACAAGAGGTTTTAGGAGCCACTGGTTTAAAATACCTCTGAGTAATTTTACTTTGATACTTTTATTATAATTTATCATAATTTGACCTTAATTCTGAGATAATGAAGTAACTATCCAGGTTTAGTCACTAATCCGACCATAACTGCAGAAGTAAAAGTCAGATGGAGGATCTTCTCGTCTGCAACGGCAGCTGCAGGATGAGTTCTCCACTAAAGATAAAAAACTAATGAGTCAAATCTGAAACTTTAAACACATTTTAACTTCTGCAATAAAACAGCTGAGAGAAATAAATGTTTGTTCTTACCTGAAACATAAAGTTTGGTTCCAGAACCAAAGATTGGGTTCCAGTATCCTCCACAGTGAGAGAGTCTGGTCCAAAAACCCGTCTGCTGTTTCTTTCTCTGGTTTTATTTCTAATTAGATTTGTTTTAATTAAACGTCTAAACCAGAATTATTTAGAATGTAAAAGTTATTATTTATATTTTTAATATTTTAAAACATAAAATAATTTAAATAATGATGTCAGGGAAGGACTCAGGAACAAAACAAATATTTGCTAAAATAAATCACAAGTTCAGATGTTCAGAAAGTATTCATGTTTTCATGGATTCTTGAATTGTTTTATTTTCTTACCTGTATAGCGTTAGAGAATTCATGATGGTCTGCCCTTAACAGCTGCCCCTTCACACAGTAACACCGCCAAGGTCGGACGCTTGGTTCAGTATGTTTACATTCCAGGAGAAGAGACAGAAGAACAGAAGAAGAACGCTTTTCATGGATTAATCAAAGTACTTTATTTGTGATAAGCTAATCAAAGCATTTGTTGATCATTAATAATCAGGTGAATGATCTGTGAAATAAAGATGTCATGAGTTATGTGTTTAAATGAATAAACAGGGCTGCCCAGACACACTGATATGCATTACCATGGAAACGCATGACACATTGTTTTCAACCAATCAGAACTTTCGTCTGTGGTAGGGCAGAATCTGGTTTGTTTATGAAAGTAGTCCAATCCGGTTTACTAAGATTCTCAAACAACTGGGAGATATAAAAAGAAGGCAACGCCATTTTAAGTCAGTTCCACGTTACGTCCGACTTTCAGCAGTTACATATTAAACTCAGCTCCAGGACATCCGAGTTCCTAAGGATTTCCATCGTCATCATTAAGAAGTTCAGACTGGCCAGCTGGACTTCTTACTTTGAGATGAAATCTGTCAAGCGTGAGATTTTCCGTCGTTCACCTCAGTCAACGAGACGACGGTCCTTCAAAATAAGAGTGAACTTGTTGACGCCTGCCGATGCTACCTGAGTCGACCCTTCAGACGGGCGTTGTTTGCTGTGACCGCTGTTTCAACCAGCTCCAGTATCGCTGAAGGTCCGAGACCTGGCATTTCCTGATCTAACACGGGAGGCTCTTCCTGGGTACGTAAATATGGCAAATGGCGGCTCATGTCATCAGCTTCTGAAGCCTCGTGGTAGCCTAGTCAAAACAACCAGATTTGCTACTCAGCCTAGAGATTCTGAACAAAACACACACACCCACACCAAACCGAACCATCTACATCCATATGCATCCATCATTGAGATAGTCCTGGTAGATTGTAAGAATTTATAATTATAGAAATTAAAGATTCTTAAATGATCCCAACTTTCTCTCTTTCTTGTCTCTCAGTCAATACAAAGTGTTGAAGTAAACTCCCTGATGATAAAAATAAACCTCTTCTGATTGATTACTTAGATTGTATAAATATACAAGATCAGGTAATTAAATTATTTAATTACAGTATATAAATATACACTTCTAAACATTACATTACATTACACCTGAAACATAAAGTTTGGTTCCAGAACCAAAGACGTATCCTCCACAGTGAGATAATCTGGTCCAAAAACCCATCTGCTGTTTCTTTTCCTTCTTCCTGATCCCACATTTCCTCTTTTTGCCAAATTTAACATCCAAGCTTTAGAAAATGAAACAAACCAAACTTCTGAATCCAGATTTGAGACGTTTGACAACAAATGTGAACACAAAGTCTGATGTGAGATCAGAGCCATTCTCTGTAACTTCAGCCACATGAGCAGAAATAAAGGAGGAATTTAGATGTTCTGTGACATTTAAAGATGTCTTGGAAAAGGTTGTGGCTAAACTACTCACAGCTGCTCTTGATGAACATAACATCTATGATAGCTTCCAGTCAGGTTTTCGTAGCGCTCATTCTACTGAAACAGCTCTTCTTAGGGTCTCTAATGACCTTCTGACTCACAGTGATGCAGGGGACTGTTCTGTTCTGGTCCTGCTGGACCTGACTGCAGCCTTTGACACTGTTGACCATCACCTGCTACTGGAGAGGCTGAGAGACTGGGTAGGTCTATCAGGATCTGCTCTGGAGTGGTTCTCCTCTTATCTCTCTGAGCGCTCCTTTTCTGTGGCTGTCTCCAAGTTTAGGTCCTCCACCACCTCTCTTACCCATGGTGTCCCACAAGGTTCTGTGCTGGGGCCTCTACTCTTCCTCCTCTATCTGCTTCCTCTTCAGCACATCCTAAGCTCCTTCAAAGGAATCTCCTACCATCTTTATGCAGATGACATCCAACTGTACATCTCCTTTAAGCCCCATGTGATGTCTAAGCTGCAGCTGTTACACACCTGCTTGTTACGACCTCAACCTGATCTAGGAGGCAGGGAGGCCTAACACAGGAACGTGAGAATTAAAAGGAAATGATCTGACACCAAGTCACAATCAAAGAAAGTCATTTTATTAACTAAAAGTGTCCCAAAGGGAGAAAAACCTGTTTACTTAAAAGGGGAGTTTAACTTATGCTGCAGGAGACAAATGCTGAGGGCTTAAAGTAACTTAAAGAGCCATAAAAAGAGAACGGAAACTCACAGGTTCTAAAAATGAACCAGGAACAACGGAAGCTTGCCCGGAGGCCTTACCAAAAGTCCACAGGTGAACTAACTCACCCACACAACCAACAGCTCTGTTAAGAGCAAGAGAAAATCAAGCTCCACCGTAAAGTTTTTCTCATGAGGGTGGAAACCAAACCAACCAGGGGCAACCGTCACTTTTCCAAAACGTTCTCAAACACAGTCTCTCTCTCAGCAGTCCTTCTCTCCAGTCTCTCTCGATCTCTTCTCGCTGTCTCTCCTCTCTTCCTCTCTGAGCAGCGCTGATCTTTATCCGCTCCAGCTGGGTGATTTCTGATGGGAGTCAGCTGCGTGAGTGAAGCCCGGGAGCCGGGCGCTCGCCATGGTCCTGAAAATGGTGCAGGATATGGTGCGGAGTGGAAGCTGAGTGCCGGGGAACTCAGGGTTCGTAACACTGCTTAGACTCTATCAAAGCCTGGATGGCTGAGAGCTTTCTTCAGCATATGACACTGGTTAGCTAACAATAAGTTGCTTTTAACCCTCTCAGGCTCAAAATAAGTTTTGATAAAAGGATGAACAACTAAGTCCGTCAGGGGTACTTCTGAGTTAATAAATGCTCATGAAATACGTATGTGGAGTAACCAGGTGGGTAGGTTTTAACGTTGATAATCTGCAACTCCTGCCTCCAGAGGGTTAAACAATTCTAAATCATTTTCAATACTTTTTAAGAGAAATCCTTGAGATGCTCTCTTAGTTAACAAACATTGCTTAGTATTTTACTTGTCTGTGTCTCCCGTGGTGATTCTGTTTGTCTTGGGTCAGGATGCTTTGTGCTTGTGTCTTCAGTAGAGTCCAAACACACAGATTGGTAGGAAGAATTTGTTCCTACCAGGGCAGCAGTAGCTCAACATGGTTGAGTGGGTTGTCCAGTAATCAGAAGGTTGCAGGTTCGATCCCAACTCCGGACAGAGAATTCTGCTGTTGTGTCCTTGGGCAAGACACTTAACTCACCTTGCCTGCTGGTGGTGGTCGGAAGGACTTAGTTGCTCATCCATTTATCAAAACTTATTTTGAGCCTGAGAGGGTTAAAAGCAACTTATTGTTAGCTAACCAGTGTCATCTGCATATAGATGTACAGAACATGACGAACAACACAAAGGTCATTCATTAATGAAGGTTGAAAATAAGAGAGGCCCCAAGGACGATCCTTGAGGAACGCCTCTCATGTAGTCAAGATCAGGATCCGTTAAAATCAACAGTTGTGAAAATTTAATTAAACCAAACTAGATAACCCAAATAAATACAGTTTGTCTAGGAGCAGGTAGTGGTACACCAAATCAAAAGCTTTAGTTAGATTACGGCAGAAGAAATGAAGGAGGCAAGAGCTCAGCTGCTTTTGCGAATCTACGGAACAAGCTAGGTTTAGAACTCAAACTCGGTCACAGAACACTCGCTCCTCGCCTCCCACCTTCCCTGGATCTGCGTCCACTGGAACCAGAAATTCACGTTTCCAGACAGAAATCAGATATTGCTAAACACCAGTCTTCTAGGTCCAAACATCTTTTGCTGTCTATGTCTTCAAATTGTTTTTTACTTTTTGGGACCCTTGGGGTCCTACAGCTGCAGTGGTAGAAGTCGGCTGTTTCTCCTTCTCTGATGTTATTGAGTGGAGAACCTCTCACACCAGTGGTGTTCTGGTTCTGAACACGAGTGTGTGATGAGTGGAGGACCCAGGGGAGTGTGGCGGTTCGGTGAGACCAATAACCGGACGGTCCGATGGTTGGTTTAGGTCTGAAACGTGTTATTGGTGGAGGGTTTTGGACAAATGTGAAAATCATGTATGTTAGAACATATTTAAGTGGCAATAAAATGTTTTAGTCTATTTTGTTTTCCAAATTTGCCACTGCAGCTTTAACTCTTTTAAACCTAAACAAAGATGAAATCATCTGACCACAGCATGGAGGTGAAACATAAGCTGCTGAGGTCTGCTGCTCTCTTCCTGTCTGACTTCTGTTCATCTGGAGGTTTTTGTTCAGCCTGCAGGGATCATCTCTCTCTGTGGAGACCAGAAACCCAACAGCTGCAGTAGTACGAGGCTGCATGTTCCTGTTGGACTTTGTTTAGCTTTAACTCACAGCCGTTCTGATTGTTCTCAGCTGAGAACTCATCTTGTTGAGGATGACCGTAACCTTTATATACTTCTGAATTACTAGTATCAAATCCAAGAATAGCTTTGAATGTTTCTGTGTCTTTCTTCTGGTACCAGTATATCCAGCTATAAGCACACGGCTGAGTTCCTCCACAGCTGATGGAGACACTCTCACCAGCTCTCCTGGTCAGTGTTACCTCCTGAGTCAGCTGTGTTGCCATGGTAACCAGCGCTGTAGGGACACAGACAGACAGGTGAAGGTTTGTTCCAGGTGGAGTGTGCTGGCTCCTGATTGGCTGGAAACACTCACCTGAACACAGACAGCACAGAGCAGCAGCTGGGAGGAAACGCATTTTGTTCAGTGGTGTTTCCTCTGGTGAACCTGGGGAGAAGTGGTGCTCTGATGCAGCTGAAGCCAAACAAGATCAGACCAGGGCCACATGGTTTTACCAGCTCCTCAGCTCCCATCAGCCCCTGCTGCTGATGATTGACAGCTCAGCTGAAGCTGCTGTGTGGTTTCATCGTCTTGGTTTCAGTCTGACAGCAGATGGAGAAAATCAGCCTGACATGATGCAGAATGACTCAAAAACATTCAGCCGCTGGATTTAGCAACACAGGCTGATATCTGTTACAGGCTGGAGGTGCTGGAAATCACCTGCCGGGGCGCTGCTGTGTGTCCCTGTCAGACCAGAATGCTTTGTAGTGGACACAGCTGCTGAGGTCATCTCTCCACACCTCACCTAAACACGAGATGTTTCCCAGCAGAAACATAAATAAATGTTCTGTATAAAAATAAACCAGCCTGAAGGTGTTTAGGTTTATTTACCATGAATAAAACATGCTGACAAAGAGCTCACTGGGATGTTTAGAACTGGGTCAGAACCATGGTTAGAGCAACACCGCCCCCTAGTGTTCAGTCTATGGAGTGCCATTTGTAAAGTCAGTCATAATCTGACAGCAATATGTTTGGTTATTTAGCATATCATAAGAGGAAAAATTGGGAGTTCACTTTTTCGAAGTCATATTTTCACCATGTTATTCATACATTTATAAATGTTAAAGTTTCCAAATAAATAATTAGTTTGCAAGCTAAATATTTAATTTATAGTAAAATATTTATTTAGCGAACTAAATATTTAGGTCTGATGTAAATATGTAGTTTGTAAAATAAATATTCAATTCACTAACTAAATATTTAATTTACTAATTAAATATTTAGTTCCAAAATAAATATTTAATTAGTAAATTAAATATTTAGTTAGTGAATTAAATATCTATTTTACAAACTAAATATTTAGATCAGACCTAAATATTTAGTTTGCTAAATAAATATTTAACAATAAATTAAATATTTTGCTTGCTAACTAAACATTTATTTGGAAACATGGTGAAAATACGACTTCGAAAAAGTGAACTCCCAAATTTTTCTCTTATGAAATGCTAAATAACCAAAAATATTGCCGTTAGATTATGACTGACTTCACAAATGACACTCCATACCAATCACTCGGGTTTTAGCTGGACCTTCTGACCTTAGGTCCTTGTTTAAAATCTGATCTCAGCTTTAAAATGAACTTTAGAACTAAATGACACAAATATTCTGTTTTTATTTACATCTGATTATATCAGATTAACTGCTTGGTTTTAATCTATTGTTTTTCCTTCCTTTATCCATTCCGGCTGAGAAAAACTCCCTTTTACTTAATTCTGTTCAAATGTAGAAACCTGAATCAATGGTGTGTGTGTGTGTGTGATAGCTGTATCCTAAACACAGAACACACTATCAGAGCACTGAGTCTGAGAGGAGATGGTGTAGTGCCACAGGTACACCTGCATGATTCTACCTGGATACCAACTTACCTACACACACACGCATGCACGCACACACAATGTCCTCACATTGTAGGGAAAATGGTCAAAATGGTCCTCAGTATGTAGTATGTACAAGAACACACACACACAGCACGATAAACACACGTTTATTTATAAAACTCGGGTCATGGATGCAGAATAAAAGAATAAATGAAAACAGGAGATAATAAAATCCATTGACAAGACTGTAACACTAAAACCTGCAGCACGTGCATGAGGAGAGAATGCTAACCACACAGGAAGGCTGCAGATGGGATTTGAACCCTCAACCTTCACTCTTCATCCACCAGGGCTAAAAGCTGAAGCTCTACAGAGAAAACGTTTTTAACACGTGTGTTTAGGTGGAATCTGAACTACTGGGCTGTTATTAACCAGGTTACTGAAGACGGAGCACAAAACTCGCGTCTCCTAATAAGCCGATTCGTGAGCTTCGTTTAGAAAACATGACAGAAGAAGGTGACCCAGATCCTGATCACACTCACATCGAGCTTGTAGCCAGTCGGGACGTTATCTTTGCTCTTTACCTCTAACGCTCTGGACACCACAAGAACTAGTGACCTAGACTAGTATCACCAGGGCCGGTGGCTGGGTCTGGTTAGGAACGATCCACATGAAGCACAAAGCTGCCACCTGCAGGTGGCGCTGTGGTGGAGAGCGGTGCTTCATAGATAGACAACGAGGCAGTCTGGTCCTCAGCAGCTTTAGGGACCTGGGAGGCCTCGAGTAAGGAACGAATGTAGCAGAGGACTGATGGGAGGATCAGTAAGGGACTGGGATTATGTTTTAATCTCTTAATGATCATTTACAAAAGAGGAGTAAATTTAGTGATCCATCTACATCCCAATCTTCACAGGTGCTCATGAGTGGCAGGTCTGTGCCCCACCCCTACTGTCAGTCGCCGTGTCCTTGGTATGACCCGAGCGGGACTTGAACACCGATCTCCCAGTCCCAGGGTGGACACTGACGGTGTTTGTTTAAAAACTAGCTTGTTCAGGCGAGTTGCTGTAGCAGCTTTGAGGGGCGCAGCTTCAATCGGGTTAAAAACAGGTTGTGTTCAAGCTAAAGGAAGTTTGTGACGGCATGAAGACACACCCACTTACACCACCACCGTGTAATCTTTGTGAAAACAAGTGATGGCCCCACACGAGCACAGCAGACTGACCCTGATGCAGCCCGCTCCACGATCAGGTTGCAGCAAAGCAGCGTCGTCGTTTTATGAAAAAGGCGGGAGTTGTGGCAAAGTTTGTTAATCCGTCCTCGATCGTTGACCGGTTAGGAGAAACAACCGGCTTCTTCGTCTAAGCCGGGATGGAATCGTGTAAGGTCGCAAGTAATCCTCCTGCTGAGCAAGTCCAACTCTGTGGCTGAAGCTAAAGACAAGTTTCCACATCGCTGGTTTTTTCTGCTCGTCCGTCCCTTAAAGCGTCCGTTCCACACGCGTAACTTTGATGTTCCGTCACACTTTGTGGCTGTTTTCTGCATTTATTTATAATCGTTTCTGAACGTTAGAGTTTGAATCGGCACGTTGCATAGCTAGGTGTAGATTAAACGGTGACTCAGCAGCAGCCCCCGTCTGTCTATCTATCGGGACTTTTCATTCGTGTGTGTCCTCATGTGAACTCTCAACGAACTTCCCCGGCTGAAGAACTTCCCGCACACCCAACAAGGATAGGGCTTCTCTCCGGTGTGCGTTCTCACATGGACATTTAAGTTACCGATCTGCGTGAAGCTCTTCCCACACGTTCTACAGGTGTAGGCCTTCTCACCTGTGTGAATTCGCAGGTGAACTAACAAGTTACTCTTGGTGCAAAATCTCTTTCCACATGTTCTACAGGAGAAGGGTCTCTCCCCCATGTGGGCTCTCATGTGGACCTTCAAGGTACTCATGTGGGTAAAAGATTTTCTGCATATCTGACAAGCCTGGAGCTTCACACCTGAGTGGATTTTCAGATGTTTATCCAACGTGAAGTCATCTCTTAACGCTTTTCCACAAATGCCACATTTCACAGTCGTGGTGTTTGGGTCCAAGTCAGTCTCTGAAACAGGAGAACCGGTTTCTCCTTGGACTTGGGTCTCAGCGACAGGACAGTTGGGTTCTGATTCAGCAAAGTCATCACAAGGATCTCCGAAGGTCTCCTGCTTTATAACCAGATGTTCTTCCTCCTGAAAGCTGCAGAGTTCCTCGGGTTCTTCTTTAATCTGTGAAGGTTCTGCTTCCTTCTGCTCTTCTATGACCTGTGGAGGTTCTGGTTTTTCCTGGTCCAGACTGGAGCTCCATTCCTGGTTACAGAGCTGCTGGCCCATCAGAACCTCGTTCTGCTTGTAGACTCTCTGCTGTTGAGGTTCTGCAGGAAAAAGGAGGACAGGCTCTCACACTTTGACCCAAACAAATTCAAGCACTTTCAAGATGATCTTTCAGGATTTTCCAGCACCTCACAGCAGAGATGAGTCACATCTCATAAACAGTAAACATCTCATGCTTCACCTCACCGCCCCGTAGGAGCAGGTGTTACTGAGCTCTAAGGAACACGAGCTATGTTTTATGGTTCATTAATATTAATGACGCATCAGTTTCATGCAGCGCTTTAACAACGCCCCACAAACGAACACAACTCCACCTATTATCTGAGACGTTCCACAGGAGAACCTGTTGTAGGTGTTCCTCTAGTCTCTCACTGGTTTAACCTGGTCTGGTAACCTTTAATCTGATGCAGATTATAGAGAAAACTTCACAGATGAACAACGATGCGGCACATCGCTCTCTACGTCTGACACTGATTAAATATCACAAAGGCTGAACTCAGTCTTCAACCACCTGGAAGGAAATAATGTAATAACTGCAGCAGATCTGATCTTTGTGAGAATCTGAATCAGATCTTTAGACGAGTGCAGCTCTAATCTGTCTCAGATTTTAACTCATTTAGACTCAGATTAGCTTGTAGCTTCTGTCCTAGTCCCACTCTCTGGTCGGAAGGACGTGAAGTTGAATCTCAGAGGCAACAAACCGGTGACTCTGCGCAGCCTGATCCGTGCTTTCCAGCTGATATCCAGCAGTCTGCGCTGAGCTTCCAGCTCTTCTTCGATGGTTTTCTCAAACTGGGAGAATATTTCTTCAGCAGCAGCAGCTAGGCGCTCGCTGATGAACTCTCTCAGATGCTGAACTGAAGACATGGTTGCTGAAACTCCTGAAGCATTTAACTGAGAAGCAGCAAACAAATGTTCACAAGCTACTTCCGGGTTTCTTCTTCTTCGTTTTCTGTAGCGGATAACAGGAACCCATGTTGACGGTATCGCCCTCTTCTGATGAGGAGAGGAGCTCCTGCTTTTCTGGTTCTTTGGTTTCAATTATCAGTGATCAGCTTAGTTTAAAAACTCTTCTCCGTTTAACATTTAACGATTTTAATAAATGAGCACATTTCTGCTGCCTGAGAAAGTCAAACTACTCATCAGACCTCATTTTGACATTTAGACATAAACTTTAAAACTATAAAATAAACTTTATCATCTCATAAATAAGATATAAAGAGATGTTGAAATCAAGTACAACTTTTAAACCCACAGTTATAATTTTGAAAAGAATACTAATTGCATTATTAAATTGCTTTTAATTTACCATTTACAAACTTGTCTTTCAGCCTTAATTCTGACTTTATTCGTGAAAATGATGAGGCTGACAAAAGTAAAATAACATATGAGACAATTACCCTAACCTGTATGTAATCATGTATTTTTATCTTACAATAATGTCTGAATTTTTAAGTATTGATGATGAGATTTACTGAGCTGTCTTTATGTTATAAAGATCTGTACACATTATTGTATAACGTATTGTATTGTATAACGCCGGTTTAATTAACTAACATATTTAGTGTACAGCGCCTTGTTTGGTTGTAATGCCTTGTTGAATGCGCTTTATAAGTAAAATTGGAATTGGAAATGGAATTTGAATCTGGACTGTGATCTATGAAATGCAGCGCTTCCTGTTCTGGCCACCAGGTGAGAGCAAAACACCGTACAAACGTTTAATCTGAAGAATAGGAACAAAACAGCTCGTTTTGTTTCTTAATGTTAGAAACAGAGTTTATCAGTGCTCGGTTTGCTTCTAATGAGTCAGCTTCAGGAAACGAAGAATCAGAAATCAACTGAAGCAAAATAATAATAATAATAATAATAATAATAATAATAATAATAATAATAAACACAGAATCAACGCAAAATAAGTTCAGTCATTTAAAGAGTTAATGAAGTTCAGAAGGTTTCCAGGAAAATAGTTCAGATTTTGTTCTGAATCCACTGAGATAAATAATAACAGTAAAAAAAACTTTTAGAATAACTTCTCATAGTGCTAAATAAAGAAATAAAATACTACTACCACTACTACTACTACTACTACTACTATTAATACTACTACTACTGCTACTACTACTACTACTACTACTACTACTACTACTACTGCTACTACTAATAATAAAAATTATTATTATTATTATTATTATTATTATTATTAACAACAACAACAACAATAATAATAATAATAATAATAATAATAATTTGTCAAGCAGAACTGATTTTAGTCATGAGGAAGGCCAAATATTAAGATATAATTCAGGAAAATAACTTATAAAACAGAATGAGATTGATTTGAAGGTTTAAGATAAATCAAAAACACACAATGGTGACGTTTATTGTGCTTCTCCAGATGTTCACCTCTGTAAAGAAGATTAGTAAGAACTAAACAAGAAGGAACCAGAACCTCCACTAAGAAAATAAGACCAGGAGAGAAAGAGCTGGAACCAGAACCAGACCCTAAGACTGTAGCTGACAACAAATCTGTAATATGTGACCTTTGTAGAAAAACCTTTTGAGATAAATAACAGGACTGAGGAGTGAGCCCTGTGGGACTCCACACAACATGACAGCAGCTGATGGAAACCAGTGAGAAGCAGGTCCTGAGCAGGCTCTGACTGAAAGGAACTCCTCTGATGGTTCTTCAGGTTTTTAATAAACCGACTGGAGCAGACTTGAGCTGAACCAATATGGATGTCTGGTCTGAGGTTTTTAGACGAGAAAAACAACGTGACGCGTTTGTCAGATAACTGAAGTAGTTGGTTCTGTGGTTCCTCACAGCATCTGAAAAAAGTTCAGTAAAACCTTCTGAGCGACATGAAAAATGTTTCTTCTTGTATTATACAACAGTTTCATTTAAAAGAACTGAATTTTTTAAGGAATCTGAGTCATTTGTTCATGCCTTGTGAGTCGTTTAAAGGCTGAAGGAGGTTTTTTAGGTAAAGACGACGTCTGCCTGTCCTCGCCTTTCATCTGTTCTCCTGATGTGCTTTCAAAGGAAAAGTTCTTGTCAAGCAACACTTTTATCCAGCGTTCGTTTCCCACCACTTTCCTGTGATGCTCCCTGAAGAAGACTAGCAGGCATTTCAGCAGCAATGTGTGCTTTTCTGGTGTGTTTAGTGTTTACAGCAGGATGAGGAGAGTGATGAAACGTGCTCATCAGAGATGAATTTATGTTTATTTAAAAACGTTACAGTATGTACATACCAAGGCATTTTACACTGTAAAACTTTATCCTGTTGACTTAGGTGTGTTTTTATTCTTAGACACCTGGGACGCATCTTGGATATTTAAAATGTAACAATTTACATAAAGAAATTTTTGGTTTGCTTTTTAAGTACACTGTAAACCCAAATAAGTTCCCAGAACTCAAACATTTTGAGGCAATCAATTGCCTCAATTTTTTTGAGTTTTGATACTGAAAATTTAAAGTTTACATAAATAAAATTTCTCAATAAATTTTACTCATACATTAGAAGTTTATTCAATTAAAATTGCTCATCCAATCAACTCAAAATATACCAACTTTTTAAAAGCAGTTTGTTTCTTACTTTACCGTACTACACAGAAAACAACATGAAAGAGCTGACTTAGCATTTACGCAACCAGGAACCCCATCCTCATTAATATTAACATTTATATTCAGAATAAAGTTAATTGCTCAGCTGTGAGAAGCTTTTTCTCAGAACTCAGATGCTTCCTGGAACCATCGTTGAGCCGTCGATATTTGTAACTGTCGTCATTAAAGAGAAAAGCCACCGAAATGGGTAGGAGGCTGCAGACAGCTGCAGGAACGAGCTGCTGATCTGAGAACAGATTGGTGTCTGAAACTGTGACCTCCACCTAAACACACACACACACACACACACACACACACACACACACACACACACACACACACACACACACACACACACACACACACACACACACACGCACGCACGCACGCACGCACGCACGCACGCGCGCACACACACACACACACACACACACACACACACACACACACATACACACACACAGGCACCAGCCTACCCCCACGACCCTGCGAGGATGAGCAGGTAACGACACAGGATGGATGATTAAAAATAATTTTAAAACTGTAATAATATTTTTTATGAAAATAAAGGGTTTTAATTTGCTAATCTTATCTTTAAAAACTTAAATAAAATTTTAAAACTTAAATAAAATAAACACAAAAAAAATTCTAAGTAAACTATCACAATAAAATAATAACAAAATTAAAGGACTTAAAAGAAACAGCTTTTGTTTAAACAACCAGGTGTTGAAATCAGGATTATTTATTTATGACAGGTTTTATAATAAATGCAAAGCTAGACAGAAGCAACAGAAAACGGCACAATACAATCATTCCAGTCAGCAAATGAAGTGTTCATTGTTTAAGCTGCACTTTCTATGCAGTTATACAAAGATTTACTCAAATGTTTGACAATCACAATCATTTTTTTAGTTTCTGCATCAAGAAACGAGTTTCTAAAAGTCCAGATTAGATTAGATAATCTGGATTTCTCCAGACTCTCTGAGCTGTAAAAGCTGCTGAAGAGCGGTAAATCTGAAGGTTTTACATTCATTGTTGAGACGCTGAAGCTGCTGAAGGACATCACTAAGATGAGCTCCTGGTGGACACTCCGATGCTCCTGAAGCACCTGATCACAGAGATTCCAGAGCAGAGTACCAGGCTCTTCACCGTCAGCAGGGAGTACAGCAACAGGAGCAGCTTCTCTCTGAACCATTTGGGAACCAGGAGCTGGAGGTGGAGAAACCTCTGAAATGGAAAAACAAAGAAACATGAGTGGTGATGAAGCTGAAGACCAGAGAGTCCTCTGGGTTCACGGTCCTAACCCTAAAACTCCTCATGTCTGCTCCATCAGACCCAGCAGAAGCATCAACATCATCAGAGCTTCTGCTACAAGGAAAGGGGGTGGGGTGGGGGTGGGGTAATAGGTGGCTGGTTACCATGGTAACCCTGATGAGTCACTGGCAGCAGTGTTAACGTTCCGGTCCTCAAACAGTTTCTAAATCCAGTGTAGTCCTTCCGTACATATGTCGATGGTGTAATCTTGTAGTAGGATATAGTGGATGTTGGGATTATAAACAGCAGCTACATCAGTTCCCTTCAGAGTGTCCACAAGAATGTTCTAGTCACCTATTGTTGTAGCCTCCACCCCGATGTGCTCATGTTTCACCTGGCAGCTGTAGTTGTACACAAGGAGGGGATCTGGGTCAACCGTCCTGATGGAGGTGGTCCGACCCGTCTTTGTGAGCTCCAGCTGCTCCTCATCAGCAGGAAGATCCTCCAGAGGACCGTTCACCTTCTGTCTTTTCCAGAAGAATCGAACGTGAGGAGGAAACATGCCGGAGGCCAGACAAACCAGGAATGTCTTCCGTTTGGGGTGGGCTCCGAGCGCCGCCGGGTACACGCTCACCTTGGGTTTGACAGAGGCCTCAGCTGATGTTTAACAGAAGAATCAGAGTCAGCGTTAACATGAAACATCACCAAGAGCTGGTGTCTGACGGGGGACATCTGGACATGTCTCCAGTCCATCTCAGGGACACGGTCTAACAGCAACCTAATCCGTGGGAGAAACCCCTCTCATGCATGAGGAGAACATGCTAAGTCCACACAGAAAGGCTGCAGCAGGGACTTCAACCCTGCAACCTTCTTGCAGCTGCTCTTCCCCTGCAGCAAAAAAAAAAAAAAAAAAAAAAAAAAACCTTAAGTTTGTTCATTTTAACTTCTTTTGGCCCCAAACACATAACAGATCGTTGTATTTCAGATGCAGGTCTGGTGGTGGAGCAGCTACTGGGTCTAAAACGAGGATTCACCTGCGATCATCACCAGGTGCTAACTTCTGCCTGAGATTCATCCTCAGTCATCGGGTTTATGAGCAAGAGGAGCAGCCGGAGCTGTTGGTCTTGCATCGGCCCGGTTCTGCCTACGACAATAATAAGATTATCCGCCGGCTGGATAATAAAATAAATAAGAAAATAAACATTTTAAATAAAATGTACAGATTGTTTCAGTCGTACTGTGTGTGTGTGTGTGTGTGTGTGTGTGTGTGTGTGTGTGTGTGTGTGTGTGTGTGTGTGTGTGTGTGTTGTAGATCTGAGGTAAATAAACATTATTTAACTTTACTGTAATTACAAACTTATTTTCTACCTGGACACAAACATCATTATTTCCCAGGTGGAGAGTACAAATCTGTTAACATGCGTTATAATTAATTAATGATGTCATAAGTTGAATATTTCTTATCATAAAAGGTTTTTAGGTTAATCCCAGATTTGAAACAGATCAAGACGTTTAGTTCCTCTGCACCAATAAAATGTGATGAAAACATGAATCATGTTTCTGTCACGTCTTCATTTTCTCTTCTCTTTCATTAAGTTTGTTCCAGTTCATGTGATTTTATGTGATTTGTTGCAACGTTCTGCAACGGGATGAAACTTAAAGTGCAGAGAAAAATAAATAATAATAAACAAATAAATAAATAAATATGCAGACTAGAAGTCATATTTATTTCAGGTCAAACAGCATTTCTTTACTTTGTTACAGATAAAGTGACTCAGCGCAGTGGACAGTCGCAGTCCGGTGCCCTTGAGCAAGGTGGGCTCCATTTATTTGTATAAAAATAAAAAGATAAAAGTGATGTTAATTCAGAGGGTGAATAGAAACAGTCCAGGTGAGATGAAACGCAGCATAAATGTGTTTTTTATTTTCCATCTCTGTTTCTGTCTAATACGTTTTTTTCTGGGACGTCAAATCTCGGATCACAACGACACAAAGAGGATAAAACAATAAAATAATCTTTGTCATTTAATAAAAGGTGTTTATATTTAAACAATCAAATTCCCATAAATGTTAAAATGAGACAAAAATTATTTTAAATGAACCTGACCCAACAGAACATTGTTGTACCCTAACCCGTTTTACTTTTTATTTAGTAGTTTAAACATTTAGAGCTACCATATTCCCCCCCACTCACACACACACACACACACACACACACACACACACACGCACGCACGCACGCACGCACGCACGCACGCACACACACACACACACACACACACACACACACACACACACACACAATTTTAGTCAAAGGAAAAGCAGCAAGCATGAATTGGTTTCACAATAACTGAGAATTAATCCAGACCTGATCTTGTATAATTAACAAGTTTGGGATCAGTCTCAGTTCATCACCTACCAAAGGTAGAAAGGTTGCAGACAACAGGTGTTTCCTCACTTTCAGAGAAAAGCATCATTTATTCAAGCAGAAGAAACCTGGTTTCAGCTTTTGGGTTTCTTTATGATACTGACTAAAGGTTCTGACCCGAATGGGAACCCCATGAGCATTTGGGGCAGGGTTGGGCGGGATTTTCTTGCCATTTAAGAATAACATGTATTTGGATTTTTCAGCATTCTGCACACATTTTAGACCCGGTAAATGAGGCTGTGTGAGTGTTCTAGAGTTTGAGAAAGGCGGAGGATGAACGGTAAATAACAGGGTCATCTGCATTAGAAACCTTCAGATCATCAATGGTATTGATGTCAATAGTGAAGAGAAGGTCCTAGTAAGGAGCCCTGGGGTACACCTTTCAACACCAGGAGGTAGAGAGAGTGCCGACTAGTTATTGTTAAATACTTCAGATGTGCCAATGTTACAAAGTCTGTTTATAGGATGGCATGGAGTCAAAAAATCCTAAATGGCCTCTATTTGTATAGCGCCTTCAATGGTTCTACAACCACCAAAGGCACTTCACAACACATCCAGTCATTTACCCGTTCACACGCTGGGATGATGAGCTACAACAGGGATATTCAACTCCAGTCCTGGAGGCCAGTATCCAGCATGTTTTAGTGGTTTCTCTGCTCCAACACACTAGATTCAGTGGTTGAATCACCTGTGCAGCAGCTCATTAGGCTGCATCACAGAGACCTGTTAATCACTGCTGACTGAAATCAGGTGTGCTGAAACAGAATTCCAACTAAAACCTGTTGGATCCCGGCCCTCCAGGCCTGGAATGGAATAGCCCTGAGCTACAGTGTAGTCACAGCTGCTCTGGGGAACAATGAAGGAAACAAGTCTGCCGAGCACAGGCACCACCGGTCCCTCCAACCACCACCAGCAACTGTGCTGCATTCGTTTGTCATTTACGAATCGTAATCTCAATCCCGATAACTTCGTCCAAAGAATCATTCCATACAAAGTGTAATACAAAAATCTGCAAAATAATAAGAACAAATAAGGTAATAAACACTAAAAGGCAAACACAACTGACAATAATATCTTACAGCAGTTCACAGAGATAGAGAATGGAATCAGCTAAATCAACACAATCATAACCTTAAGAAAAGCTATTTCATACATATTGAAATGAATTTACTGTGATGCACAATTCTACAATTTATGGCAGTTCCTGTAAGGAGATTGGGAAAGGTTAGCAAAACCATACACAAAAAACATCAGTAGAGTGTATTTGCGACAGTGTGAGCATCCTGTCACAGTGTCCCGATTGATCATACGCCCTGGCGACTTGGCCAAGGGGATGTCCCTTTGGCTGACTGGTTAGAGTGTGTGACTCTCACCCGGGAGTCTGGGGATTGAATCCCGCCCGGGCCCTCGTTTCTCCTCCTTGCCACATATTGAAACATCAAGTGAATTTAATTTAAAGCTTCAAGTTTCAGACAACTCTTTCTGTGAATGAGGAAAAAATGAACGTGCAATTTTAATTTATGCAGCTCTAACAATGGCAGAGCTGAGGCAAATCAAGCGTTCTGCATCAAGGGCGTGTCCGTGGGCTGGGAGTCTTGGTTGGAGAATAGTTTGGAAGGCCAGAGTCCTCTTCGTTGGTCAGGATGGTTTCAGTCTTATGTTGATGAGTACCTTGAAGTCCAGATCCGGAGCGTAATAACATAGTTCGGAACATGAAGCGCACAGTTCAACTTCTCAATAGGAAGACTTCAGGGTCCTTCCATGGCATGTCGAGGCGGTTGTCCAATTGTCAGAGAGCTGATCTTGTCCCCGAAAAGTCCTTCAGGTCCTTGGCCGTGAAACCAGTCTGGAGATTTGGGTGCAGGTGCTTGAAGTAGTTGATCCTTTTCCAGCGTCTCTTCTTCGCTGTGTCCTGTTGTAGTTGCGTCCAGGAGGTCGTCAGCCAAGGTGGATGCAGGTTACATTTTCATGTAGGTGTGCGGTCAGGGAGGAACCCCAATCCGTCGTTTCAGCTCCAGTTCTAGTACCCCCTCAAATGCTGCTGTCTCAGTTGTTCCATCAGGTGCTGAGAGGCGGCCCAAGTGCAGGGCCATGACTGCGACCACCAACATCAACAATGTGGTGAACCCAACGACCTTGAAGCGGACCTCCATCTTCACCGGGTTTGAGAGGTGGCACCCTAATGGTGGCTGTAAAGGATGGGTAGTTTACATCTTACTTATGAACCATAAGATGTGAGATTCCATAGAAATATGAAATATCAATCTGATGGATCTTTGAATATTTTAACCAGAAGATCAGAACTTTTTATTGCAGGGATTAAGTGACACTTTGTATTAACTCCAAGGAAAGAGAGAGAGTCAGGGTTAAAATAGTTAAGAAATTTATTTCTACACAATTGTACTGTGTGTACTGATGGACTAAGGTGGAGTGAGACGTGAGATGATGGTGTGTGTGTGTGTAATGTTATTATCAGAACCAGCGGATCCGGAGAAGCATTTAGTTCTGAGTGGGAGTAAATGTTTCGCTCTAAAGTTGGAGATTTATAACACACATGAAACGCCATCTTTCGGTCTACGTACCCCAGGGGAAGCCTCCGATTAGATCCAGAATGTCGAGGTCCTCTTGGACCCTCCTTGGAACCGAAGCCGGTAGAAAAGCAGCGGTGCCGACCAAACCAGTCTTGGAATGCTTCCAGGTCACGACAGGTTCATTGGCGTCAGCGAGACCCTGAAGGGGTCGTGAGGTTCAGCTTTTATTCTGAAGAAACCACTGCTGTCAGGTGTAACTTGCAACAGATTTTATCCAGCTTGTCGAGGTTCTCTTGGCTGAAGAGGAAGTCCGGATGGCCTGTCCGAGACTTCTCTAGAACGCTTTGAACTAAAGAAAAGGTGGCGTGGAATAGTTTTTATAATTGTCATATTTTGGTTTACTGGTGAATCAGAATTTGACATGCGAAAGAGGGTTTATACAAACACCACAGAAAACCACGCCTCGCATCAGAAACGAAGGTTCTGATTGGATCAGACAAAAGGAAATGTGTCGTGTGACTTTAGCATTATGTGTCATTAGTGTCTAGTGCAAATGTCCAAGATTATAATCACTTGTAAAATACTACTGATCACAGGATTATAATATCAAGTAATAACATTGTCATTTCACAGACTGATTGAACATTGGGCTCACATTATTATTGGTAATAACAGAGTTGTTGATTATGTGTTTATCAAAAGAGTTCTTTGTCTTTGTCTTGAGCTGTACAGAGGTGAAGCAGTTCAGATGAGCAGAGTGCATGAAAGACCTTGGCCAATATCTCATGTAGATTAGGCCTGTATCAGAGAATTTATGTCTCTGCTCAAGCAGAGGCAGCAGATCATGACCTTTAGGTCAACAACAGGACATTCATGATGCTACATGGCCCACCCCTTTGTAGCCGGACTTCGTTGCTGCGCTAAAGTGGTTAGTTGATAAGCTTGCAGTGGGATAGATGAATCCAGGATGGCCTCTCAGCAATCTTCACAGCAGTGGGAGTGACGAGGAGTACCTCGAATGGACCTCTGGCTGCCCCATGTGTCTCGCTTCAGCACCTTCATCAGAACCCAATTTCCTGGTTTCACAACCTGTGGCAAAAAACACAAGAAAATTCTGTGAGGTCACTGTTGATTTTGAATTATTTTCAGCAAAAATTCTTATCATCCAATCTGCCAAAGTATTCTCTCTGTCACTCTGGACTATAGGATTCGTGATCCTTATCATCCAATATGAAGTCCAGGAAGCGGGAGCACATCACTCCGGTTTTAAAATCACTGTACTGGCTCCCGGTATGTTTCAGGATCGATTTGAAGGTTCTTTTAATGATTTTTAAGTGTCTTAATGGTCTCGGGCCTTCTTATCTTTCAGAACTACTTTTACTATATAAACCCTCGCGGTCTCTGCGCTCCTCTGGCAGCCGTCTCCTAATTATTCCAAAAGTTAAGACACACACCCACGGCGAGGTGTCCTTCAAGTACTATGGCCCTCGCCTTTGGAACGGGCTGCCGGAGGACCTCAGGGCCGAAGGGAACGTCCAGGCTTTTAAGAATAGGCTCAAGACCCACCTTTTTAGCTTAGCTTTTAACTGATCACTATTTATCTAGTCTGTTTAACTGTATCGCCTGTCATATTTGTTTATATATATATATATATATATATATATATATATATATATATATATATATATATATATATATATATATATATATATACCTATTTATCTCTTTTAATTAATTTAATTATTTTATTTACATCTTAGTGTTTTTACATGATTATGTTTTCTTTTACTATCTTTATAATCACTTTATATCAGTTACTTTCTATCCATATTAGCTTTTGTTATTTTACAGTTATATATTTGAATCCTCCAGTGTTTCTTTTGCGGAGCCCTCTGCCTTGGGGCCGGTGGTCGGCGGTGGCGGCCGGGGCGCTCCTTGGGTAGTGCCCAGGCAGTGGTGGGGCTTTCCGCCCTCCCTCCCTGGGCGTCATGGGCCGGTGTCTTGGCTGCTGCCGTGGATCTGTTGCTGTCAAGGCAGGTGGCTCTGCTGATGATGTGTCGTCCATTATCTAACCCATCTGAACTCAGCCTATTGTTTACTCTGTTGTTCACGTATGTGTGTGTGTGTGCGTGTGTGTGCATGTGCGTGTGTGTGTGTGCGTGTGTGTGTGTGTGTGTACGTGTGTGTGTGCATGTGCGTGTGTGTGTGTGTGTGTGCGTGTGTGTGTGTGTGTGTGTGTGTGTGTGTGTGCGTGTGTGTGTGTGTGTGTGTGTGTGCGTTCACACACGTTTTTGTTCAGCCTGCAGGGATCGTCTCTCTGTGGAGACCAGATTTCTGACAGCTGCAGTAGTAGGAGGCTGCATGAGAGGATGTAATGCCGCTGATCACCAGCTCTATTCCATCTTTTCTCACTGCTGTAAAACTTGTTTTGAGAGGGTGATTAAAGAGCGACGTCTGCTTTTCACCAGTGTGGTCCACACGGAGAATCGCTGCTAAAGGTTCTGTGTCTGCTTGTAGGTACCAGTACATAAATTGTGTGTCACATACATCAAAACCAGAATGGCTGATAGTGACACTCTCACCAGCTCACCTGGTCAGTGTCAGGTCTTTCTGAGTCAGCTGTGCTGCCATGGTAACCAGTGCTGTAGGGACACAGACAGACAGGTGAAGGTTTGTTCCAGGTGGAGTGTGCTGGCTCCTGATTGGCTGGAAACACTCACCTGAACACAGACCGCACAGAGCAGCAGCTGGGAGGAAACGCATTGTGTTCGGTGGTGTTTCCTCTGGTGAACCTGGGGAGAAGTGGTGTTCTGATGCAACTGAGGCCAAACAAGATCAGACCAGGGCCACGTGGTTTTACCAGCTTCTCAGCTCCCATCAGCCCCTGCTGCTGCTGCTGATGATTGACAGCTCAGCTGAAGCTACTGTTGCTCATAACTCTGGTAACGCTGAAATGAGTCAGAGCATTTCAGCAGCTCCTCTGATCATTGGCTTTATGTGATCAAAATGATCACATGAATATGAATCATTTTAACCCTGAATTGGTGTGAATGAGTTATCTAATTGGTTCACATAGGTCACATGGGTCAGAGGCTGTAAATGCTAACACACTGCAACCACCAGACTAATTCTTTGCTACTTTTAGTCACAAAGTTATGATGTTAACGTTTGTTCAGTTTTTCCTGAGTCAGAAGGTGCAAGAACCATGACCAGGAACTGTGGGAGAAGCTGACACCTAAAACTGGAAACCTGACTAGATCAGGAAGTGACTGTTGTTGACAAATTTAGACAAATCAGAATTTGACAAGTTTTAAAGGCGTTACCAGAATACCTCAGAAGATCCCACCTTCCCTCAGATGCTCAGAGAGGTCATTTCTCAGTGTGCAGTGAAAATATTATAACAGTTATGTGGAGCACTGATGTTTTCACCATTAATGATAATATAATGAGGTGTTAATATACGGATAGATTTTATTCTTAAAATCATCAATTACTGATGCTGTCTAATTTGATATCTGAAATGAATCATTAAAGAAAATGTTCATGCCAACCCATCATTCGTGAATGTAAAGTATAGGACACATTATTAAAACACTTTTGATTGAAACAAATGGTTCATTCTACAAAATATGAATACATAAAGTTTTAAAGTCATTTATGAGTCAGGGAAGATGAGTGTTGTTGTAAGAGGGTAGATGAGAGGTCCTGCGTCTCTTGCAGCCTTGAGGACTCGTGACGTACGCGGGATAAGTTAAGAATATTGGCTCAAGTTCATTTCTTCATATCGGGGTTGCGGTGTCAGACTGTCCTGTATGAAGGAGTTTGGCCTGTAAGTTAAAAGTTAACGTCTGGTCATTTTGATGAAATTGCTACATGTGTGTGATGGAGGTTAAACATGGTAAGCTGCTGAGGTCTGCTGCTCTCTTCCTGTCTGACTTCTGTTCATCTGGAGGTTTTTGTTCAGCCTGCAGAGATCATCTCTCTCTGTGGAGACCAGATTTCTGACAGCTGCAGTAGTAGGAGGCTGCATGTTCCTGTTGGACTTTTATGGTGATCGCATTACAGCCGTAGTCTTCTGTATTTGCCATAAAATGATCCTTCTGGGGATGGTTGTAGCATCTGTTCATGGTTTTGTTAATGAGATCGATGCATAGGATGACCCGAAGAGGATGCTGCTCCGTGTGCTGGTACCAGTGAACTTGCTTGTTGTCACACGCTTCTGTTCCTGAACACTTTAGAGAAACTATATGATCATCTCTGGCAGTATAAGATTACTGGTCCTGAGTTAGCACCTCTGTTGCCATGGTAACCAGCACCGTAGGGACACAGACAGACAGGTGAAGGTTTGTTCCAGTTGGGGTGTGCTGGCTCCTGATTGGCTGGAAACACTCACCTGAACATATACAGCACAGAGCAGCAGTTGGGAAGAAAAGCATTGTGTTCAGTGGTGTTTCCTCTGGTGAACCTGGGGAGAAGTGGTGCTCTGATGCAGCTGAGGCCAAACAAGATCAGACCAGGGCCACGTGGTTTTACCAGCTCCTCAGCTCCCATCAGCCCCTGCTACTGCTGGTGCAAACAGGAGCATCTGTCGACTGATAAGCGAACAGCAGCTATTCCTGATTAGCTTTTGTGTGACGTAGCTCATTCTTGTTATTTCCTGTTATTGTTTTAAATTACTCCAAACTCTAACTCTTCTTTTCCAATGACCCATAAATCATGACTGTGTGGAAAAAACTTCAAGTAAAAAAAAAAAACCCACAAACCTGAAAGTGAGTTTTCTCTTTATATTTTAACTTCTGATATTTCAAAAGGTTCCCGCAATAAAAGCTCTGGTCAACAACGATTCTGCATATTTCTGACAGGGTTAGATAAAAAAATAAAAATATAACACGAAAAATAATTTTAGAAAATAAGAAAAGAATGAAAAAAAATGCTCGCAAAGTTCTGCAACAGTTATACATGTTTTAATTTAGCATTTGTTTTGTTTTAATTTTAAACTGAATATTTGGAGTTTCTTTTCGTCTTTTTCTGAATGAATATCACAACTTTTAATAATTAGCCTACCTCAATTTATTTATATAAAACACACACGCAATCTCTCATGATGCTTTTCTATTATAAATGTTTCCTGTAACAGGGTTAAAGAATTTCTTTTCTGAAACAAGGTTTTAGTCTGCCACCTGGTGGTCAGTTTTGTGTAATACAAGATCCTTTTGAACAGAGATGATTAATCTTCAAACCCTGGAAACTTCATTCATTCATTCGCTCTAATAAACTGGATTTCATCATTAGTCAAATACAATACGAATAATACATTTTTATCTTAAAGGTCAATGAAAGGTCTATTCTACTATGTTGTGATACTTAACTTAAATTAAAAAGGTTTAATTACAGAATTCCCGTAATTCTGAATGGAGTTCAGCGAGAGCTACATACAAGAAGCTAACAGCTAAGCTAATTGGGAAACTTGTGATGTAAGTTAGAAACCAAAAGCAGACTGGCCCTGCTCCACCTGCCGCCACTCATATCAACTCTGGCTGATGTAAATGTGCTTAAGTTCATTTACGGGATTGAAACAGAAATAAAAATCAAATGTATTCCTTTTATTTAGACTAAACAGACAGAGGAGTTCGGAACTGACTTCCTTACACAACAAAACGTTAGTCCAGCGCGGTGCATTCTGGGAAATGTAGATAGCTGATTCACAAATCTACCAAATGAAATAAGACACCAAAAGTAATTGTTTCATGGATAAAAATTACCACGACCAAACTACAAGAGAGATAATAAAAATAATAGTTTTCAGTTATTCTGTAAGCGGTGGGAAAACTGGGACAATTACATGCAAAAATAAACTACATTTCCCATCATCCAACAGCAAGCGCACGTACGTTGAGCAACAATCAGATGCTAAAGGAAAACGGCCGCTTCCGTGTTGTTCTTGTGTTATTCTGGACGATAATAGCTGAAATCGCTGCCACCCTTCACCCGACAGCGTCCCTGAGGGGTAATTATCATGCTATTGTGAAGCTAAAATACGTTTTCAGCCTCTCTCGCCCGAAATGTCGCTGCTGCAGAGCTCAAAGAAAAAAGACAAGCGTATTTTGTCTGGTACCTGCCCAGACCCGAAATGTCAGGCGAGGCTCTTCTTCCCCGCTTACGGCTCCATTAGCATCGAGTGCACCGAGTGCGGTCAGCGCCACGAGCAGAGGAACCTGCTGAATGTCGAGGAGGTAACGGATCCAGATGTGGTGCTCCACAACCTCCTCAGAAACGCCCTGCTCGGCGTCACCGGAGCCCCGAAGAAAGGGACGGAGCTGGTGAAGGTGATGGGGCTCTCTAACTACCACTGCAAGCTGCTGTCCCCGGTGCTCACCCGTTACGGCATGGACAAACAAACCGGAAAAGCCAAGCTGCTGAGGGACATGAACCAGGGGGACATTTTTGACTGCTCTCTGCTGGGGGACAGAGCCTTCCTGATCGAGCCGGACCATGTTTCCACCATGGGATATGGGCAGGACAGGTCTGGGAGCCTCATCTACCTCCACGACACTCTGGAGGAGATCAAGAAAGCCAACGGAAACAGAGAGTGTCTTATTCCAGTCCATGTGGATGGAGACGGGCACTGCCTGGTCCACGCTGTGTCCAGAGCGCTCGTAGGAAGAGAACTTTTCTGGCACGCCTTGAGAGAGAACCTTAAGCAGAACTTCAAACAGAACCTGGTCCGATACAAAGCCCTGTTTCAGGACTTTATCGATGCTGCAGAGTGGGAGGACATCATCAATGAGTGTGACCCTCTTTTCATCCCGCCTGAGGGCGTGCCTCTTGGACTACGCAACATCCACATTTTTGGTTTAGCTAATGTCCTCCACCGACCCATAATCCTCCTGGACTCCCTGAGCGGAATGAGGAGCTCCGGGGACTATTCTGCCACCTTCCTGCCCGGACTGGTGCCGGAGGAGCAGTGCAAGGGAAAAGACGGGAAGCTCAATAAGCCCATCTGCATCGCCTGGAGCAGCTCAGGCAGGAACCACTACGTCCCTCTGGTGGGAATCAAGAACACGGTGCTGCCCAAGCTGCCAGCCCGCCTGCTGCCGAAGGCCTGGGGTGTTCCCCAGGAGCTCATCAGGAAGTACATCAAATTGGAATCAGACGGCAGCTGTGTGATCGCAGGCGACCGCAGCTTGCAGGATAAATACCTGATGAGGCTAGTGAACGCCATGGAGGAGGTGTTCATGGATAGGCACGGCATCCACCCCTCGCTGGTGGCCGACGTGCACCAGTACGTCTACAGACGGACGGGGGTGATCGGCGTCCAGCCGGAGGAGGTGACCGAAGCAGCCAAGAAGTCCGTGATGGAGAACAGGCTGCACCGCTGCCTGATCTGCGGCGCCCTCTCAGAGCTCCATGTCCCCTCCGAGTGGCTTGTCCCAGGTGGAAAGCTCTACAACTTAGCCAAGTCCACACACGGCCAACTCCGACCAGACAAGAACTACAGCTTCCCCCTAAACAACGTGGTCTGCTCCTATGACACCCAGAGAGACATCCTCGTCCCGGACTACAAACTGAGCGCCCTCAACACTTGCAACTGGTGTCACGGGACATCCGTGCGCCACATCCGTGGGAATGGGTCAGTGGTTTACCTGGATGGGGACAGAACTAACACCCGGTCCCAGGGGGGGAAGTGTGGCTGTGGATTCAAGCACTACTGGGAGGGGAAGGAGTACGACAACCTCCCCGAAGCCTTCCCCATCACACTAGAGTGGGGGGGGCGGGTGGTGCGTGAGACGGTGTACTGGTTCCAGTACGAGACCGACCCGACGCTGAACAGCAACGTGTACGACGTAGCTATGAAGCTGGTCACCAAGCACTTCCCCGGAGAGTTCGGTAGTGAGATCCTGGTTCAGAAAGTGGTCAACACCATCCTGCATCACACCGCCAAGAAGAACCCCGACGAGTACAACCCGGTTTCTATCGACGGGGCTCATGCCCAGCGGCTCAACGACCCGTTGGAGACCCAGCCCACCGCAGACCCGCAGCCCCCCACCAAGATCATCCTGACCGGTCAGAAAGCAAAGACGCTGCACAAGGAGGAGCTGACGATGAGCCGGGCGGAGCGCAGCATCCAGCAGAGCATCAGCGAGCAGGCCCTGGTCTCCCAGAAAAGACGCACAGAGAAACTCAAGCAGGAGCAAAAGGGTCAGATCCGGGACTCTTCCCCTGGGGGGTCTCCAGAAACATCCTCCTTCTCAGCTCCAGCCACCCCTACCAAGTCCTCCTCCCCCTCTTCCAACAAGGAGAAGAAGATCCGTGTGACCACCAGCGATGGCAGGCAGGCCATGCTGACTCTGCCTGCTCACACCACCTTCTCAGACCTGCAGAGCAGCATCTCCAACCAGTTTGGCGTTCTTCCGGCCCAGCAGTGCATTCGTTATGGCTTCCCGCCCAAAGAGCTGGGTCCTCCGAAGGACGGCGAGGAGAACGAGCCGGTTGTGCTGCAGCATGGGGACAGGGTGACAGTGGAGATCCTGAGGGGCTCTGAGGACACGAGCCCCGCGGCCTCCATCACCAGAGCCTCCAGCTCACACTCGTCCCTCCACTCGGCCAAGAGCGACGACGCCATGATGTCCAGCAGGATGAGCAGCCGGGAACTCCAGGAGAGCATAGACCTGGAGATGTCCTCCCTCTGTCTCCTAGCAACCTTGATGGGTAGGTGGCATGTGGTCTGACAGGAACCGAGCGTCTCATCGTTACTGGACCCAGTCTGGGACGGCAGATCTCCGCTGTGGAGTTAAAATGCAGAACTTTGTTTTTGATGCTTTTTCATAAAGTTCTCCCACAAGGGCTGAACTTCTGCGCTTGTTTAACGTTTCCGATTTATGAAACATTTAAATCCTCTTCAGCAAAACTCTGGTTTAGTTTCAGCTCCGTGTTGCTTCTGTGCACACGGTGTCTCCGTGAGACATGAACGTGTAGACGAGGGCCGCACCACATGTCCAGTAAGAACAGGAACTTAGCTCAGCTCCCATAATTCCAGTTCATCTGGGGCCACAAACTAACCCGGCTCTTTAACTCCAGTTCAGATTAAGTTTCGGGATTTGCTGCAGTTTATTTTTATTACAACAAAAAGAACTTCAGGAATTAGTTCAGTTTTTCCCATTTAGGTAGAAAACTGTGGAATCAGACGATAAACCTGTGGAGGAGTTAAATATAAATAAAGTTGTTTACATCTTTAGTTATTTCCAGACTCACTAAAGCATTTTTGAATGAATTCCAGCTTTTTGTCTCAGATATGCTGAAAATGTTGTTTTCCTAGTTCCGATCTCCGGATTCGAAGTGAAGTCTTCCCGTATGTCGGAACGTTTCAGAAACAAACTTCAGGAAAAACAGATTTTAACCACGTTTAAGTGAAACTGGAGCGTTTTATTAACTCTGTGACTGAATGATGAGAAGCTGGTTTTATTAGTCGTTCAGCTCTGGAAGCTTCATGAGCTGCAGGGAAACCGTCTGACACTGTGAGGTGTGTGTTCATATATAAAAGTAACACACGTTACCATTGTAACACACGTGTTCATGCCACTTGGGGCCCCAGAACCCCAGGTTTCAGTGTTACTGATGCACCTCTCCCACCTGCAGCAAATATTCATGCTTCTTTCTGATTGGCTGCTGCAGGTGAACAAACCACAGGCGTCCAATCTGCAGCTGTCTGAGATCCCAGGCTCCTGATCAGCGGTGTGTGTGTGTGTGTGTGTGTGTGTGTGTATGTGTTTGTTTGTGTGGTGGATTAGCTGAGTCAAGTATTTCATCCCCTTCCTATCTCGCATGCTAACAGGGTCAAAGGTCGCTGCAGCGTCCGATAAACAGATCAGCCAGACAGCAGGCAGCATGACAGAACACCTCCATTCATTTTCTGGTTTTATCTGGGTTCTGAATGCTCCGCGGGCCTGACGCTGCACTTCCTGTTGACTGGCTTCAGTCAGAGAACGCCTCCGAAGCCGTCGGTCAGCTGACTTTAGTAAACAGCAGAGAAGATTAACAATAATCTGAGCTGATGTTCCACCAGACTAATCTGATCTAGAACCGGTCTGGATCTGAACATCCTTCATAAAGGCAGCGTCGTGTGTGTGTGTGTGTGTGTGTGTGTGTGTGTGTGTGTGTGTGTGTGTGTGTGTGTGTGTGTGTGTGTGTGTGTGTGTGTGTGTGTGTGTGTGTGTGTGTGTGTGTGTGTGTGTACGTACCTGATGCTGTTTGATAACCATCTTTTTTTCATCTAAACATTTGAAACTGACCAGTAAACCCAGAGCAGATCTGCCGGTGCTGACTGGTTTCCACTAGACTCAGAACCTCTGGTCCGGATCAGGATTGAGACTTTAACCGGCTGGGTTTGGTTATTCTGAGTTCTAAGATGGATTATCAGCTGTGATGTTCTGAAGCAAAGATGAACGTGATGGTTTATGGTTACCTGAGTGTGAACTGGGAGGGTTTAACTGGTAAAATGTTTCCTTGTTCCAGGTGAGGATGTGTGGTCGTATGCTAAGAAGCTGCCTCACCTGTTCCAGCAGGGCGGAGTCTTCTACAACATCGTCAAGAAAGACATGGGTGAGTCCTCAGAGCCTCGCCGACCTGGAGGCTCCACCCACCAGCACGATGGATTAGAACTGAAACCTTCAATCTGAGGGTTTATCATCCAGATCAGGTGAAGGGGGCAGGAATTACAGCACTTTGCATTCGTGCCTCCCACCTGTTACAGGACCAGCAGTGATGGGACAGAATAATAATCCTAAACTAAACATTCACTTTTTAATGCTTGGTTGCAAATTCTTTGCAGTCAGTCCAGCCTGAAGTCAGGAACGTGCAGACATCACCAGATGCTGGCTTGCATCGCTGGTGATGCTCTGCCAGGCTTCTCCCACACCTGTCTTCAGTTCCTGCTTGTTCTTGAGGTGTTTTCCCTTCAGTTTTGTCTTCAGCAAGTGCATGCTCAGTCAGATTCAGGTCAGGTGACTTGGCCGTTGCACAGCATTCCACTTGTTGGCCTTAAAAACTCTTGTGTTGCTTTTGCAGTATGCTTTGGGTGATTGTCCATCTGCTCTGTGAAGCTCCCTCCAGGGACTTCTGAAGCATTTGGCTGAATATGAGCAGTTCCTTTGCTTCTCCGTACTCTTCTCTTCCCATCACTCTGGTGCCTCATCTGTCCATAGGATGTTCCAGATCTGTGAAGGTGTGTTTAAATGACGTTTGGGCTTGAGGCTCACCAACGCTCTCTGTGTGCTCCCTGGTGAAGTCTTCTCTTGATTATTGACTTTGACACACCCACACCTGGACACGGTTCTGGATCTGGCCAGCTCGTGAAGGGTATTTCCTCCACCAGGGAAAGAATTGTTGGGTGTTTTTGTGGTCTTCTGGGTCCTTTGGTGTTGCTGTGTAAGAATGTTCCTAACAGTAGTTTTGACCATGCCGAATGTCTCTGATGGGTTCGTTGTGTTTTTCATGGCTTGCTTCAGTGATAGTGACATCTCTTTGGGTCTCATCTTAAGAGTTGACAGCCACAGATTACAAATGCAAACATCACACCTGAAACGAACTCTGGACTTTTAATCTGCATGCTGGAATTGGGATAATGAGGGAATATCACACACCTGGCCCTGGAACAGCCTAGAAGCCAATTGTCCCATCACTGAAGGTCCTTTAACAGGTGGGAAGTACGAGTGCAAACTGCTGTAATTCCTACACCGTTCACCTAATCTGGATGTAAAATCCCTCAGATTAAAGCTGTTAGGTTTCATTTCTAATCCATTGTGGTGTGTATAGAGCCAAAATGTTAGAATTGTGTCGATGTTCCAGTATATATGGACCTGACTGCATCTCCTGCAGTAGCTTCTGATAGAAAACAGACGGTGAAACTCTAGGATTAGAAAATCCTGACAGATCTACGTCACACTGTCACTAACTTTCATGGACTCACCCATCTGGACTCACGACGGGGAAGGCGGTTGCTGGTTTAGTGTCCAGGAAACAGCTGAGAACGTCTCAGCTAGAATGAGCTAACTGTTAGCATTAGCACCTCCACCACACAGCAGAACTCCTCCGCTCTGTGTGGCAGCAGACTTGTCCGTGCTGATCCAAGCAGTTCTGGGCTTTTTTTGCCCCGAGTACGGCTAGCAAGGCATTCATTCTTACCAGAGACGTCTGCTAATGTATTAAATGAGTTTCCCACATCTTTAAGAACCTCCATATTTACATGTTTGTGGGAAATAAACATATTTACTGAGTTTCTGTGATGGATCCAGAAACAGGAAAAAACACGATTCGTCTTTTCTTTCTGAGCTGAAACTGATTCTTTACCAGATCAGGACAGCATCGAGGTTTTCTTTTCATCCCGTTTCTGGATTAAAGAATAAAAACTAGAACGTGTATCTGAGGACAGCAGATGTATGTGTCGTAGTTTTCTCCCATTATCTTGGTGAGATAAACATCCCGATCGATCCTAAAACTGTTATGCCTGCTACTATCAGCGAAATGTGGTTTATGTGACGTTCTGACGAGGTTTCCTGTTCCAGGTCTGATAGACGGGAAGCACTGCACGCTGCCTCACCTGTCGGGGAAAACCTTTGTTTATAACGCAGCTGAAGAGCGTCTGGAGCTCTGCGTGGACACTGCAGGTCACTTCCCCGTCGGTCCTGATGTTGAGGAGCTGGTGAAGGAGGCAATGATGCAGCTCCGCTCCGAGGCATCCACCAGGGGCAGCAGAGAGGGCAGCCCGTCCCACGGCGTCCTGCGACTCGGCAGCGGCGGCGTTGTTCGGAAAAAAGAGCAACTTCAGAACGTCACAGCCTTCCAAGGTAAAGGTCACTCTCTGGGTAGTGCTGGAGGCTCCTCCCCTCCAGAACATCGGCCTATCACGCGCCAGCACAGCAGTGGTGTGGACCTGAGCGCCAGCGTGTCCAGAGGACCCCCAGACCTGTCGGACGTCCCCGAGGACGCCACCAGGGAGCTGGTCCGCATGGCTCCAGGCTTCGTCACCATGAAGGACGGGCGTGGCCTGGACCCCGGTCTTATGGAGCAGCAGAGGAGGAAACTGCAGGAGATGGTCTCCTCCATCCAGGCCTCCATGGAGCGCCACCTTAAGGAGCAGCAGAACGCCACTGATGTGGGGGGCGGGGCCAGCCAGAACCAAACTGCTGCAATTAAAACCATCACGGGTCAGCAAGGAGCTACAGTGGATCAGGAACCTCTGGCTGCAGCAGGACCCGGAAAACCAGAGAAGGGGGAGGAACTGGAGGAGATGGAAAGCCAGGACGCCGGACAGAGCGGTGCCACCGAACCCATGGACCACTCCTGATTGTCCCTAAGCCCCGCCTCCACCATCTGTGGGTCTCAGTGCCTCAGGTCAGATCCAAAACTTCATCATGTTGTGTCGTTTTTGCTGCATGACTAAAGAGCGAACTGACTGTCCTCGCTGGGACGCGAGTCGGTAAGAAGATGTGCTGCGATACATCACCAGTCTCCCCCCCCCCCCCCACCCCCCCACCCCACACACCTCCTCGCCTGGCTTGTTAGAATAGGTTTCCTTCACTTGATTTGTTGTGAACAGCAGCCTTACAACGTTTCTCCGGGTTGCCGTGGCGACGTGACCTACAGCCTCCTTCCTGCAGACATCAGGACTTCCTGCTTTAGAAAAGTCTTGAGAGACAAAGCCGTTGGACTTTTGAGTGTGATGCATTCCTGTAGATAAGGTCTTAATCAGCTGCTGGTCTCAGGCTGCGTCCTGTCCTCCCAACGATGCTTCCATCACCATCCACGTCCAGCCTCACTGGCGCCTTGATCACTGACCTGCTGCCCCCCACCAGGAGGACTGGTTCTGTTTCCTCAGCAGGGTTCAGAGCCTTTGCCTGCAGTCCAAACAGCACCACCTACAGGACAGGCGAAGGGCTTGGAGCTAGATTGTTCCAGAGCGGATGAGTTTGAGCTTCTGTTCTTGTTCCAGACTCAGATGAGTGACTAATCAAAGAAAACTAACGGCTGTGATACATTCAACACCGATCCGGCTGGCCCAAACTCGAGCCGCTGGTGTTTTATTCCTTCTTGTTGCTCACCTGGACTGAAATCTGTAGCTTTTACCTTCATCCATTAAACTTCCTGGAAAAGGTCCCATAAAACCAGAAAACTTTTAATCTGATAAATGAGTTTATTACCTGGAAGTTGAGTGTGTCTCTCTGGATGGATGTGTGTGTGTGTGTGTGTGTGTGTGTGTGTGTGGCAGACAGGTAGAGGAACCAGAAAACACACTTTCTGCCTGCAGATCTTCAGGCTCTCTTGTGTAAATGTCATTTTCGCAAACATGACTTCTTATTTTTTAGCGACTACATTTCCCATGAGTCTTCGAGCCTCTGGGGACTGAAGCTTATTGTTGCCAACAGAAAAAAAGATGAAGACTTATTTATTTTAGGAAATTTATATTTATAGAATCGGCGGTGTTCCGTGGAAGTTTAAAGCTAAATTCCCGTTCTGATGTGATTTCCATCTCAGGTGGAGGTGTGCTAGCTCCACCTGGTTGGATGACTATTTGAACTTTACGGTTTGGTTTGTTTCCTTCTAACCTGCATCAGAATAAATGAACCTTTCCTTTTTGGCCTTTAAGACTCCCGTCTGCAGCTCTGGTAAACTCTTGATTTGAGCAGCAGCCAAAGATGGTCAGATTCTTTCCTGTAGATCAGCCTGGTCCGCCTCCACATGTGCCTCTTCTCGTGTAGAAACTCGCCCCCTCGGGTTCTAACTCCCGACGGCACTGTTGGGCTAGCCAAGACGAGTAAAATTACAATCCGATCCTTCAGTAAAAAACGCTTCTGTGACTCCCAGCAGCTCTTCATCAGGACGAATCAGGAGATCGGGTTTAGTAGCATCAACCCAACAAACAGGAAGTGACATGCATTGTTAAAACTATTGATCTGATAAAATAGTTTTGGTTTGACTCAAACTGGATTCGACTAAATCCTTGAATCCACAAAGCTTTTCATTTTATTATCAGACTTTCCTCAAATCTTCTATAAAAAGATTCTGTTGGCGTGTTTTAGCCAACAAACATGTTTGCATTCACGTTCACGTCGACAGGAAGGCGGTCCTGTCGACACGATCAGACGGTTTCAGGCCATCATCGTCGGGCCTTAAACTTGAAGCCAAACTGGTTTTAGTATCAACTTAAATCTTTGTTTTGGTTTTTAAATTCAGCTTGTTTAGGTTTTCCTTCTGCAGTAAAAATGTCTGAAGTTTGATGTATGACTCGGCACTTTGAAGGAGCGTTAGCGTAGCCAGATTAGCTGAACCTGAAGGAAGCCAGACAGACTTGTGGCTGCTCTACTCGTGACATGAATTGTAACCCACTTGTATAAAAGTACATACTGTAGAATATTTGGACCTGTACAGAACCAGATGGCTTTGTTTTTGGCGACTTCTCTGGTTTGCTAATAAAAGATGGACGCCCCTCTGCTTCATCGCTGTTTGCATGTGTGACTTTTCAGCACCACCAATAAAACCACCTCCTCCAGCTGCTGGTGTCCGCTCCTCATTGGCTGCTCTGCTCTTCCTGTGCTTAGTAAGTTTACCACAGAAACCCTCGTGACTTCAGGTGTTTCACACTTTATTACATCACAACTGTGGTAAAGTTTCCAGGAGAACTTCGTTTTAGTTTTGTTTTCATGCATTACATCCATCTGGAATGTTCTGTCACTGTTTGGCCTCATGGGCACAAACTTCACACAAACGTAGAAACAAAGGATTTACAACAATGATTACGGAGAGCGTGGTTGTACGATACTCCGGAGACGGGCGGTCCGTTGCTGAGGAGTGGGATTTTACTTCTGCAGACCCCTCGGATGTGGCTGCAGCAGCTCTTTAATGAGAAGCTACTTGACGTCTGTGTGAGTTCGCATGTGAAGCTTTAAGTTGATCCTCTGTCTGTAATTCCTTCCACAAGTCAGGCAGGAGTAGGGTTTGGCTCCAGTGTGGGTTCTCATGTGGACGGACAGAATGCTGCGCGTGCTGAAGTCCTTCCCACAGGTCTTGCATGAAAAGGGTTTCTCACCAGTGTGGGTTCTCATGTGGCTCACCAGCCGGTTCTGATAAGCAAACTGTTTTCCACACGTGTCGCAGGAATACGGCTTTTCACCCGAGTGTGTCCTGGTGTGGATAGATAAATGGCCGCTGGTGTAGAAGGTTTTCCCACACGTCACACACAGGAATGGCATCTCTCCGGTGTGCGTCCTCATGTGCACTCTTAAGTTGTTTCTCTGGCTGAATCGTTTCCCGCAGGTCTCACAGGGAAATGGCTTCACACCTGCGTGAATCAGCATGTGGTTGGATAGGTTCTTCTGTGTGTGAAAGTTTTTGCCGCATGCTTCGCATGGAAAGGAAAACCCTGAGTGGATTTTCCGGTGGGCTTTCAGCTGACCAACTTTAGCGAAACTTTTCCCGCATGTTTTGCATGAATGAGTCTTCTCAACGTGCGAACGCATGTGAGCGTTCAGATTACCAGTGTGAGTGAACGCTTTCCCACAGAGCTTACAGGCATACGGCCGCTCACCGGAGTGAACCCTCAGATGAATCTTCAGATTGGATTTATCCCTACAGGCTTTCCCACAAATGTCACATTTGACAAACTTGGTCTCTGCAACACTGTTACCCAGATTAGGTGGTTTATAGTGCAACAGCCACAGCAGAGACGACTGACTCTCAGATACTGGAGATTTGTTTCCTTCCTGGTGGCGACTCTGGGCTACAGAGGAGGTCTGACAGCCCAGCTGCTCCGTGTTTGGTTCAGATTCACTGAAATCACTCTCCTGATCGGTGGACGCATCAGTCTCTCGCTTCACAACCACCTGCTTGATTTCCGGACTGCTGCAGAGTTCCTCAGATTCCTGTTTAGCCTGTGAAGACTCAGGGTATTCCTGGTCCAGACTGGAGTTCCTCTCTTGGTTCCAGAGCTGCTGCTGCTGCTGCTCAGCTGAACTGCCCTCCTCCTTGAAGATCTGTTGGGTTTCTGTGGAGATACAGAAAACCGTGAGATCATTAAACAAAGTGACTCTAAATAAAAACTGAAGGTATGAGAGAGAGGTCTCTTTCCTCCCATCATGAGATAAAATCTGAAAATACTCCACAGATTAAATCTGAACAAACTTTTTAAAGCATCAAACAAAAATGTGACAAACACAACTTCTACATAAATCTGTGTTGTTCCCTCCTCCACCAGCTGTCTCACTGTCGTAGGACTTGTGGCTTTCTCTCAAACACCTTCAGAATACAGAGTGCACACCCAGGTTAGCCCTAAACAGGTCAGATTAGGTTATCACCTTATCGTGGTGGAGGAGTTTGAGTTTGAGTGCCCTAATGATCCTAGGAGCTATGTTGTCTGGGGCACTTAGTGCCCCTGGTAGGGTCTCCCATGACAAATTGGTCTTAGGTGAAGGGTGAGACAAAGAACGGTTCGAAGGATCTTTCATGGCGGTTAAAACGAAGAGTCGGAGTACCCGGCCCGGAGGGTTACCGGGGTCCCACCCTGGAGCCAGGCCTGGGGTTGGGGCCCGTGAGCGAGCGCCTGGTGGCCGGGCTTTCGCCCATGGGGCCCGGCCGGGCCCAGCCCGAACCGGATACATGGGCTCGTCCAACTGTGGACCCACCACCCGCAGGAGGAACATGAAGGGTCCGGTGCAATGTGAATCGGGTGGCAGACCAAGGCGGGAGCCTTGGCGGTCCAATCCCCGGACAAGAAAACTAGTTTTTGGGACATGGAACGTCACCTCGCTGGCGGGGAAGGAGCCGGAGCTTGTGGCAGAGGTTGAGCGGTACCGGCTAGATATAGTCGGACTCACCTCGACACATAGCATTGGCTCTGGAACCCGAGACCTGGAGAGGGGTTGGACACTCTACTTTGCTGGAGTTGCTCCGGGTGAGAGGCGGAGGGCTGGGGTTGGCTTTTTGTTAGCCCCGAGACTCTCTGCCTGTGTGTTGGGGTTTACCCCGGGGGACAAGAGGGTAGCTTCCTTGCGCCTTCGGGTCGGGGAACGGGTCCTGACTGTTGTTTGTGCTTATGGGCCAAATATCAGTTCAGAGTACCCACCCTTTTTGGAGTCCCTGGGACGAGTGCTAGATAGTGCTCCATCAGGGGACTCCATTGTCCTGCTGGGGGACTTCAATGCTCACGTGGGCAATGACAGCTTGACCTGGAGGGGTGTGATTGGGAGGAACGGCCCACCTGATCAGAACTCGAGCGGTGTTTTGTTATTGGACTTCTGTGCAAGCCGCAGTTTGGCCATAACGAACACCATGTTCGAACATAAGGATGCCCACCGGTACACTTGGTACCAGGGCAGCCTAGGTCACAGGTCGATGATAGATTTTGTAGTCGTATCATCTGACCTGCGGCCGTATGTTTTGGACACCCGAGTGAAGAGAGGGGCGGAGCTGTCAACTGATCACCACCTGGTGGTGAGTTGGATCAGATGGCAAGGGAACATGCCGCGTAGACCTGGCAGACCCAAACGCATAGTGAGGGTCTGCTGGGAACGCCTGGCAGAAGAACCTGTCAAGATGGTCTTCAACTCCCACCTCCGGCAGAGCTTTGACCACGTCCCGAGAGCAGTGGGGGACATTGAGTCCGAGTGGGCCTTGTTCCACTCTGCGATTGTCGAGGCGGCTGTTGCTAGCTGTGGTCGTAAGGTGGCCGGTGCCAGTCGTGGTGGCAACCCCCGTACCCGCTGGTGGACACCAGAGGTTCGGGGAGCCGTCAGGCTGAAGAAGGAGGCCTACAGGGCGTGGCTGGTCTGTGGGTCTCCGGAGGCAGCAGACAGGTACCGGATAGCCAAGCGGGGTGCAGCAGTGGCAGTTGCCGAGGCAAAATCTCGGGCGTGGGAGGAGTTTGGTGAGGCCATGGAGAAAGACTATCGATCGGCTCCAAAGAGGTTCTGGCAAACTGTCCGGCGCCTCAGGAGAGGAAGGCAGCAACTCGCTCACACTGTTTACAGTGGGGATGGGGAGCTGCTGACGTCAACTGAGGCTATAGTCGGACGGTGGAAGGAATACTTTGAGGAGCTCCTCAATCCCACCAATGCGCATTCCGAGGAGGAACCAGAGCTGGGAGGCCTGGGGATGGACTGTCCGATCTCGGGGGCAGAAGTTGCTGAGGTAGTCAAACAACTACACAGCGGCGGAGCCCCGGGGGCGGATGAGGTTCGTCCTGGGTATCTCAAGGCTATGGATGTTGTGGGGCTGTCATGGTTGACACGTCTCTACAACATTGCGTGGTCATCGGGGGCAGTTCCTAGGGAGTGGCAGACCGGGGTGGTGGTCCCCATCTTTAAGAAGGGTGACCTGAGGGTGTGTTCCAACTATAGGGGGATCACACTCCTCAGCCTCCCTGGAAAGGTCTACTCCAAGGTACTGGAGAGGAGGGTCCGATCGATAGTTGAATCTCAGATAGAGGAGGAGCAATGTGGTTTTCGTCCTGGCCGTGGAACTGTGGACCAGCTCTATACCCTTGCAAGGGTGATGGAGGGGGCATGGGAGTTTGCCCAACCAATCCACATGTGCTTTGTGGATTTGGAGAAGGCTTATGACCGTGTCCCCAGGGGCATCCTGTGGGGGACGCTCCAGGAGTATGGGGTGGGTGGCTTTCTGTTAAGGGCCATTCAGTCCCTTTACCAGAGGAGCGTGAGTTTGGTCCGCATAGCCGGTAGTAAGTCGGACCTGTTCCCAGTGAGGGTTGGACTCCGCCAGGGCTGCCCTTTGTCACCGGTTCTGTTCATCACTTTTATGGACAGAATTTCTAGACGCAGCCGTGGTGTGGAGTGTGTCGAGTTTGGTGGCAGGAGAATCTCGTCTCTGCTTTTTGCGGATGATGTGGTCCTCCTAGCTTCATCCAGCTCTGACCTTCAGCTCTTGCTGGGTAGGTTCGCGGCCGAATGTGAAGCGGCTGGGATGAGGATCAGCACCTCCAAATCTGAGACCATGGTTCTCGACCGGAAAAGGGTGGCTTGCCACCTCCGGGTCGGGGGAGAGGTCCTACCTCAAGTGGAGGAGTTTAAGTATCTCGGGGTCTTGTTCACGAGTGAGGGTAGGAGGGATCGGGAGATCGACAGGCGGATTGGTTCGGCATCTGCAGTGATGCGGACGCTGAGCCGATCTGTCGTGGGGAAGAGGGAGCTGAGCCAGAAAGCCAGGCTCTCGATTTACCGGTCGATCTACGTCCCAATCCTCACCTATGGTCATGAGCTTTGGGTAATGACCGAAAGAACGAGATCGCGGATACAAGCGGCCGAAATGAGTTTCCTCCGTAGGGTGGCCGGGCTCAGCCTTAGAGATAGGGTGAGGAGCTCGGACATTCGGGAGGGACTCGGAGTAGAACCGCTGCTCCTCCGGATCGAAAAGGGGCCAGTTGAGGTGGTTTGGGCATCTGGTCAGGATGCCTCCTGGACGCCTCCCCGGGGAGGTGTTTCGGGCATGTCCTGCCGGCAGAAGGCCCCCGGGTCGACCCAGGACACGTTGGAGAGGTTACATCTCCAATCTGGTCCGGGAACGCCTTGGGGTCCTGCCGGAGGAGCTGGTGGACAAGGCCGGGGAGAGGACGGCCTGGAGCTCCCTAGTTGGGATGCTGCCCCCGCGACCCGGACCCGGATAAGCGGAGGAAGACGAGAGACGAGAGACTATTAAGGAGACCCCGGTGGTTACCATGGTGACCCTAATGAACCGCTATGTGGTTACCATGGCGACCCTAATGAGCCACTAGGTGGGTTGCTCATTACTGAAAAAGCTTCTGAAGCACAGGAGATGGACTAAAGGCCGTTGTTCTTGTTTTGTTTCCTATGATAAAAGTAGGAGCTCCAACACCGCCAGGCTGCTTGTCAGATTCTCAACAGTTATTTAAGGACGCATCTAACAGGGTAACACATTCAGACATAACACCGGGCCTTCAGAGAACCATTTGTGAATGGTTTACAGTCTAACGCAGCCATTACACCGAGCTTTTCCACCCCAGGTGTGCAGTCTGAGCTACCAGTAACCGTGTAGTGAACGGCCTGGAGCGGATCGGTCATAGTGCTTGTGCACAGTTCAGCTGTTTAGGATCCATTTTATTTGTGATTTTAATAATTCAATAAAATATGAACTCGTCTTTATCCGTACTGCTGACTTGAAACAACACGAGTCGCGCGGACTAATTATTCTATGTGACAGTGAACCCTACACGTAAAAATAATACCGCTGTCTATCGACACCGCGTTATAATAATCATCAGGCACTACCGAGGGCTGCTAAGCGTAGCTAACAGCAACCAGCGACGCTACCGGATGCAGTTCTGTAGTTGATACCACTAAGTGTAAAACACCAGGCTTTAGCCTGACGGTAACACGTATTCTGCTACTTTCAGGTCGCTAGTTAACTCAAACAGATGTTTAACCACAACACCGGACTCTGTAAATACCGGTCCTGTTGCGCAGATTTATGCGTAGATTCCATCTTTTACGCTTGACGAGGTTTTTGTCCGCCTCTGTGATGATTTCTTCCTCGGCATCTGTTTCCCGCTTACTGTTTAACTCTCTCTGTTGCTGAACGGAATACATCGTTTCTGAACATTCAGCACAGACACAACACAACCGTTTTCTAGCGGAACCCTCAAAGGATGGCTCCGTTTTCTCTTTGAGCAACTTCTTTTGCGCCGCCTACTGGTGAAGTTCCACTGTTCTGACCCTTTGGGTTTGGTCCTTTTTATGCCGGAGCATGAACCAAGCTGGAGTGAGAACAAGGCGGCTAGAGGGCGACTCTTGTAGATAAGCGTCTCAAACACTGAGAAATAATTAGTTAAGACAGGATGTCTATCTTAGAGTAATAAACTTTCCAGGTGAGTGACGCTTCATTTATTCAGCAGAAGACTCCGCCTACTCTCTGCACCGTTAGGTGCGCCGCTGACCAAATGGAGCGGACTCCCTGACCACAGCGGAAGTAAACATTAAAAAGCTAATGGTTAGCTCCTCACATTTAACGGGTCTGTCTCAGTCCTTGTTCTAATCAGGAGTAACGATGTCTTCTGTTCAACACCCGAGAGAGTTTCTCCGCGAGTGGCTAACAGTGGAAATATTTGGAGTTTTTGTTAATATCATCGTTCGTCAGCTGGAAACATGAGATGAAAGCTTACACAACAGGTAAGACACACCTGAATGATCTAACGGAATGTCCCACAGACACAATTATTACGTTTTAGAACTGAAACAACAACAAAAAAGTGTCTGTTTTATGCATATTAAACATTTCTCAAAATCCCAAACATTTACAATTAAATGGGAAAATGCCGTCCTCCAGTGGTGATAATTTGGAACTACATTTTAGTTCTGTCCACATATTTTAGTTTCCTTTTCTCAGTCAAGCTGGAAAAATCCTGAACGTGGTTTTTGTCAGAGTAATATTAGGACCGAGAAGAATGAAGAGAAGATATTAGGAATGACATTCACAAATTCACAGAAACACTTCTTAAACTATGTATGACCTTCTTCACCACTCTCTCTTTATTCTACTCTCCCCACCTATTCCACCTTCCTCAGAATCCACTGATTTCCCTCTTATCTATTCACTCTCTCTTTCTTTACATTTTTTAATCACAACTGTCTATTTTTTGCTCATTTTAAATATATTTTGAATCATTTTCTAAATTATTTTTTATATTTTTACATTTTTTGTTTTTGTAAAGCACCTCGTGATTTTTATCTTGAAAGAGGCTATAGAAAAGATATCTTCTTCTTCTTCTTGTGATGGGACAGACAGATCTTGTCTGGTCCCATCCTAGTACAGAGCCAGGTGGCTCACATTAGATTGATTGCAGGGCGGGGTGAGCCATCCAATAAAAGGCAGCTGCATGCTCTTTCAGCATGACATCTCTGGTATGGTAAGGGTCTGAGCTACCACTGAGAAATTATGGCAAAAATATCTATAAAACCCAGCCATCTCTAGAAATCGCCAGAGCTCATGACGAGTTGTGGCAGGTGGAAAGGTCACCATTTCCTGAATGTTATCGGACGAAGGAGCAACGTCACCTAGAACAAAACGAGATGCCAGACGGTGGTCGGTTTTCTGAGCACCAGCCAACGACTTACAAGAACCAGGTAAATCCACTTGAGGACCTCTAGAGGCCAGATCAGGCGCTTTTACAGCCGGATCTGTCTTGGCAACATCAGTCAACATCTTAAACACCGAGTTGTTAAGTGAAACTTTCGGGTCTTTCTTAAGCTGGGCGCGAGGCAGCACACAAGCTGGTAGCTTATCCAGACTTTCCCCGATTTCAGGCGAAGAAATTAGCTCAGGAGGAGGTAACACTAATCCACCAACAGCGTCGTTTCCCAAAATCAGGTCTACTCCCTGGGTCGGCAACTCATCTAAAATGGCTACCCTTAGGTCACCAGTAAACAAAGGACAAGTGAGGTGAATATGATGAACCTCCGCTGGAACCAAACCCATGCCAATACCCCTCAACAACACAGAATAACCAGCCCAACTGGTTACAGAAAACGGTAACACACTCCGTTTTATCAGAGTTTGAGAAGCTCCGGTACCTCTTAAAATTACCACCTCATGGTTAGCCTTGTTGCCTAACAGAGACACCATCCCAGCTGACAAAAACGGGTTAAAGCTGGAGTGAGGGGTTTCACATTTATCCAACCTGTGTGAGATAACAGCACAAGCAGCCACGGGCTTCGTCGGAGGGGGATTTCCACTCCTCCGGTTTTTCTGCTGGAGACGAAAGCAATCACGAATGAAATTACCTCTTTCGTGACAATAGAAACACTCAGGTGGGACATCATACTCAGAAGGAGTATCAGAGGGTCTCTTACGTCGAACAGGGTCAGCTCTTGACCCCCAGGACTGATGAGTTAAAGCGAACTCGTCAGCTAATAGAGCAGCAGCAAAAAGAGTTGAGACCTTCTGTTCATTTAGGTACAAAACAAGTCTCTCCGGTACATGTCTTTTAAACTCCTCTATCATAATTAATTCCTTCAAGTCACTCAAGGAGTCTACCCCTGAAGCAGAACACCACTTCTCAAAAAGGACCGATTTAGCATGAGCATATTCAACAAACGTCTGGTGAGGCTGAGGTTTTAATGAGCAAAAGCGCTGACGGTAGGCCTCAGGAACGAGCTCATAAACATTTAGTACGGCTGCTTTTACACACTCATAATTTGAACTGTCCGTTAGAGACAGAGCCAAAATTACCTGAAGAGCCTTTCCTGAGAGCCTGCACTGCAAAAGTAGAGACCAAACCTCACAAGGCCACTGAAGGGTCACCGCAATCCACTCGAAAGCTAGGAAATAGCCATCCACCTCAGTCTCTCGGAAGGGCGGAAGGAGGGAGACACACTTGGAGACAAATGCGGGCGGTAATGAAGTGGCAGCCGGTGGAGACAAGGCATCTCAGGACAGTTCATGTGGAGATGAAGACGAGGGCGAAGGACGGTCAGCAGCCGTCTGGTTCGAGGAAGCGGCGGCTTCCAGAGTCCTCATCTGGAGAGCTATTTCTTGAAGACGAACCTCAGTGTCCATGCGCTTGAGCTCGATTTCATGTCAAAGAGTCCTTTCAAGAGTCTTTTCTTCAGCTTCAAACTTTATGCAAGCCAACTGCAGCTTCAGACGAGCTTCGGTAAGCGGAGTACAGGGAGGACTTGCTCCAGATGAATCAGAAGCCGGAGATGAGCACTCAGCTGAGGAAGGCGGAGCTGAAGCGAGTGTCTCCCTCTTCGGGTCGAGACGGCCTTTTTCCTCATCTGTGGGCGGCAGAGACCCACCAGGAGTTTCCAAGTAATCCACCACCAGTTGTCGTAAAGCGGCTTTAGTTAGCTGCTTTGGCAGAGGGAGACTGAAGTGGGCGGCAACCTGCTGCAGGTCGGTTTTGCGGCAACTCTCCAGCAGCCGGCGCAAAGGAGCCTCCACAAACACAGACAGGTCAAAGGTTGCCATGCTCTGACTCTAAGGGACACAAACACAATGTTAATATTTTGACACACACCTAGAAATGTCAGAGAAGGGTGGTAAATAAATATAAATCCCGGACGAGCCCCCACGTTATTACTCTCTAGGAGTGATGAGGAAGAGGGAGTAATAAAAGAAGTGTGCGGATGAAATAATAACAAAGTGCTGTGTCGCTAAAACGGAAGGTTTGGTTACAAAAAGGATGCACAGAAGGGTATTTACAACAACTATATATATATATATATATATATATATATATATATATATATATATATATATATATATATATATAAAAGCTAACATATATATATAAAAGCTAACATATATATATATATATATATATATATATATATATATATAAAAGCTAACATATATATATATATATATATATATATATATATATATATATATATATATAAATGCTAACGGAACTATATACAAAGGGGAGAACGGAAAACGCCACCCCAGGAGGGGGTGAGGATAAAACAACCGAGAATAATAAGAGCTTTGCTGATAAGCAGGAAAGCTCTGGGGAGATCCAAAGTCAAGGTCAATAAACTTTCCGAAGTCGAGTTACCAAACCGTCTAATCCTAAATCCAAATCCGAAGGAGTGTGTAAACCGAAGACTAGCGAGCAAAACAAGTATTACTAAAGAGCACACGAGGAGAAGAGAATAGTATAAACTCAAGAGTCTAAACTACTCTGGACCTTCTCCCTGAATGGGAGGTGAGGTGAGCCTTTTAACTGAGTGACCAGGTGATGACTAATAGAGAACAGCTGCCATGGAATCTAGATGTGGAGGGAGCTGCGGGGGCCATCTAGTGGCGAGCGTACGTAACAGCATTTATTACACACACTTTCCGGTTGTGCAAAATGTTTTCACCAGTAAAAAAGGCACTGACAGGAGAAGACATTGTTTTGTTTTGCACCAGAGGAGGGAAGAGGAGCCAGCAATTGTACCCTAGAGCTTTAATATAAATATATTTTAATTAAAGTAGTCAGGGAAAAACTCCACTGAATAAAAAAAATAACTATTTGATAAAAAGGCTACTCACAAGCAGGTACATGTTTGATTATAACAGCTGATTTAATTAAACTTAGTTGATTATGTTGGGGTAATTAGGAGCAAGTAATTAGTAATTAATTAATTACTTTTGGATTCTTCAATAAATTCTGTAAATATGGGAATATTTACCGATGTATTAATTAATTAAGATACTCTTACGTATCTTATGGGGCACCACCCCTTTAACCGGGGAAAAATTGAATCCAAAACTCTTATCAGTCTTTCTTGAAGTCGTGGAATCCGTCAGGAGCAGAGACTTTGAATCAACACAAGAAATCTATTGGAGACATATCTGAATTTTATAACATTTAATTAAACAAGGAGATTAATAATGCAAAACAATTTGATATAATTGGAGATGTGTGTGTGTGTAATGGAGGATGTCCCCACAAACACTAAAAACACGTATGAGTGTGTGTGTGTGTGTGTGTGTGTGTGTGTGAATGAATCCTTCGTCCTCCCAGAGCACTAAAAACACATACGTGTGTGTGTGTGTGTGTGAGATGGAGGATGTATGAATGGGGCTTTGTTTTCCCAGGTGTGTGGGGAGTGTGTGTGTCTGATAAGGCTGACTTTCCTCTCTCAGATGCAGACAAAAGGGAATTAGCTTGCATTTAGTGGCTTAAAAATCACAGTAAAACTTAACTGTAACACTTCAAAAGTTTAGACTCTTAAACAACAAAGGTCACTCGGTAAATTATCTAATCTAAAAGAGAAGTCGACCAGCCTGGCCAGAGCTTACCGACAATAACCCAGATTAAATAAACAATAAACAAAAGATCTTACTTCACGATATATATCTATAACGTGTTTTATTACGGAAGATAGAGAAAACTGTCTGATAATTTGAAGTAAGTCACGCGGTCGACTGCTTATCTTGGTCTAGAGGAGACGAGAAAAGGTAAAAGTTTAAATGAAATAAAACTTGCAGGAGATAACAGCTGATCCGGGCAAAACAAGGCGTCCCTTTGTGTTCCCTGGTCAGATGTGATTTATGCTTCTCCGTAATTTCTCCCACTGGGCTGGAAGAGAGCAAAGTTTCTTTTTGTTGTGCTGAATTTGTAACTTACAGCGTCTCTGAGAGCTGGATGGGCTCCGCTCGTTCCCAGTCAGGTCCTGATGGAGTTGGAGTTTATCAGTCAGCGATCGTTTCCTTCACCTCAGCTGGAGGAATGCAGAAAAAGTAGATTTGCTTGCTGGGTTTCCAACCCAGCTTTTCAGCGTTCGGTGTTTGATCTGCTCACGCTGATCGGAGCATGCAATGAGCGTGTCCTTTTCACCAGTGCAACTGGTACACAAGAACAGTTAAGTTTAGTTTTTCGCTGAAACTTATAGTTTTTGAGCTGGTTGTTGTGGTGACATCATCACCTTGCTTCCCTATGCAAAGCATCATGGGAAATGAAGTGTCTCTGGTGCTGATGTTATTATCTGCTTTTTCAGAGCAATTTAAGCACAGTCTTTTTGGAGAAAATCACTGTATAGTAATTTCCTCATGAGGGCATACCCTCAACAATTAGATAAAAAAATAAAACTCCTGTGGTTTAAAGGACAGAATAGAAAAGTAGACATTTCCAAATCACTCTTCGTCACAATAACGCTTTAGAAACCTTCCAGCAGGTATTTATCTAACACAAATATGTAGGCTATGTAGGACTGCAGTTGTTTTCTTCTTCCGGCTCTTGGAGATTACAGACGCTTTTTTTCCTCCTCTCCTCCCTATCTTATCCCCAAGGCTTTTTGTCTGTCTTTGGGTGTATGGAGCTTCTACATTTTTTCTGGATACTGGAAATTATTACAAATGGACCTGGTCAGCTGGTCACTCAACTCGATTGACAAAATTTTCTCAACGATGAGAGCGGAAGAAGAGGCTCTCGGACAGATCCAGTTGGGCACATCATGGACTCCTGGAAACAGTGGAACCTGATTTGCCTATCTCAGCTGTCTGTAGAGGATTCTGAAGATGTCTGGATATTCGTGGCATTGGTGTCAGGTTTCCTGCTCTTTGGCCTTGGAGGTTACCTGACTTACCAAAAAATTAATGAGCTGTCGAGGAATATTGGCTCACTCCCAGAGCTCAGAGATGGATTGCACCGCGCTGTGAATTCACAGACTCCTATAATTGTGGAGATGAGTGGTAAGCTTGGAACTTTGGCTGAGATTCATGCGTTGACACAAAAGATGGATGTGATCAAGGAGCGAGTGGACGAATCAGCACGGATTGGGATAGATTAATCTACGCCATTATTGGATTTTGAGAGGTTGAGGACCAGCGGAACTCTAAGACAGAGAAGAAATTATCTTTTTCTGGTCCCAAAACAATTTCTTATCTGCATCTGGTGCCCTTAAGCCTGTGAGGCTGAAACAAATACCCCCCCAGAAGAAATGTGGAATACTGCCATCGCCATGGCAACTCTGTCTCCCTTTCCCGGCCTGGGTGGGACTGTGAGCTGTGAAGGCCGCTGAATCGTTCCAGGAGTCACTTTGCTCTGTAAACCCAACAACCTCCCACCCCTTTCCAGACTGAGGTGAAGAGCGCTGCTTATTGCGGCTGCTGCTGATGACGTGTGAAGAATCCCAAAACCCTACCACCCCACCTAGTGGACACTTCTGTTGTGTAATGTCTGAAGTCTGTTGCATTTCTGTCTGGTGTTTTTTTGCATAGCAAATGTAACATGATGGAGGTGCTATTCCACCGAAGGTTATTTACCCTCTCTCCACAGATGCCTCTGACACAGAACTAATCTGCATGAGACTGCCTCAAGGTCATGCATTTGCTTCTAAACTGCTTCTTTCCAGCTCAAGAGAATAATGAAGAAAATGACTCTCTTTAATAAATCAAAGAACTCTATTTTTAATAAAGCTAATCAAACAAAGTGTTAGTCAATAATAAGATGTGACCAATCTGTGAAATCAAAACATTAATTACTTTATTACAATCCTATAGAATATAAT